GACGAGCGCCTCGAGCAGCTGCCGAGAGAACTTCTCCCTGGACTGCCGAGTTGCTGCTGAATTGGTCATATCAAGTGGCCCCGGTACAAGTGCAACCACATGGCACAATCCACCGCAACGCGAGCCACACCCACGGATAAAGAGCACCATTTATTCCGCCAGGCACCCAGATGGGCAACAGCATATGTGTAAATACCTCACTTCGTTGTCTGGGTTGACCCAGGCGTCAGGGGCACACGCCCCAGTCGTCCTTTCGGCTATCCAGAAGTGATGGAATTGATCCACCATTTCGACAACATGTCCTGAAATATACTGATTGCAGCTCTGCAGGGACCCCTCGCGAAGAAGCGGTATTATGCTTCGCGCACCCGAGCGGTGACACAATTCAAACATGATTATGGGGGCGGACAGTGCTCAGTGCTTGCTGGCCCGGTGGGCTGGGTCGTTGAGCGTATTCGTACGTAACGACACGGAACCGGCTCCATGGGGGCAAGTGGAGATCGAATGCCAGAGCCGGAAACCGCGAACTGAGTCAGGCATCCCGGCCCCAGTGCTAAAGAGGGAAGACGCTGCCTTTTCCTGGCATCATGCCCCTCTGGCACTCGGAAAAAAGGGGCATGTGGTGCCTGAATTTCAACTTAGGGTTCCGCGCGGCGAGACTCCCAGTCCTCGCAAAAGCGTTCCCGCCAGCGCCAGCGTTGGTTCGGGGGTCCCAGGCGCTTCAAGCAAACGCAAGGCATAATGAACAGCTCTGTCATCGTCACTGGTTAGCGCAGGTCTGTCCGTGCTATGTCCAGCAACACCGGCCAGCACTGCGTCGGTCCCTGACTCACTATCAGGCGCCCGTTTCCGGGCATATGGCCCCTTTTCGCCGCCCGTCAGTCCGTCATGCGTGATGTATCGACTTTCTGCCAAGCCAGGTTATGTCCACAAAAATAACCGTGTGTGTGTACATGGTCATTTGCTCTGGTATGGCGTGTTGCTACATAGTTTATTTCTCCGCATTACGCGTACCCGCTACTACAGTACACCTCCCTGGTATTCACATAAGGGCACCTAGAGCCGACTATACGGACAGGTGGACACGTACGTATGGACTCTCTTGAGCAAGCTCTCAGGCAGAATGAATGTCCTGCGCACTTCTCCGAGACCCTCTCTGCATCCATCAAGCAGGCTTAGCTCAAAAATTGAGTAAAACAGTCTATATCATCCTTTAAGAGAGCCGGGTACATTTGCGTCCTTCATCTGACTCTCTGCTCTGGAGTACTTTGAACCTTTTTCCACCTAAATCGGGAGTGCCTCCGTGACCGAGTCGCCTTTCCTCTTCCACCTGCGTGAGTTTTGAGGTTGGAAGACGATCTATCCGTGGTTTGCCCAGAGTTGTCGTAGTTACACGTAGAAGCTCCGCCCATATGCATCGGGGGTCATGTTGCCAATGGCTGAACCCCAACTAATAGCAGAATCACAATCGGACTACGCCTTGGTCTCAACTTCAACTACGTTCTGGGGAACTGCCCGCGAATATCAGGTCTAGCACAAAGTTGTACATCGCACTCACATTGCTGTAACATTATCCCTGATTTATTTTCTCTCGAAGGGCCCTCCGAGTATAACAGGACGAGGGTCTCAAATTCATCGAGTTGGTACTTGGGTTCCAGGCAGACGACTGTCACCGAGTCATAACTTTAAGATGCCGGAAAGGGATAACAATTGAGGAGGAGGCGGCAACTTTTCGGCGAGGCTACTCAACAATAAGTTACGCAAAGAGAAGCAACCTTCTGATAGCCAATGGAGTCAAATTGGGACGTGGCACGCAACCGCATCCGGCCCATTCAATGGACCATCGGGGAACGCTACGAGAAGGTGCAAAGTCAACGAGGGCCAGTCAGCCAAGGATCAGCCTTAATATGAACCAGACGGAGCCCATTATCTCTCGATATAAAGAGGCCATTCCCATTCTCTAACATTTGAGAGGCCCTACCGATATAACTCTCAACGTTGTCCAGATAATGAATTCGACCTTGGGCCTGGATCAAACCCTGTCCACTGGAACGCAGCACAAGCTCCAAGAAATGATTCCACGTTGGGAAGAGGCACTTGATGAAGGCGCCTGATGGAGCTAAAGACGGCCTAGACAGGGATTAAAATATCACGGAAGATGCACCCTGTACGTTGTGCAAAAGTGTTGGAGATTTCCCGTGCATGCGAGGACGAGGCAGGGATAATCTACGGGATCGAAGAGTTGCACCCAGAGCTTCGGAATTTAACTCAAGCACGCGTGTTATTTTGCGTGTCCGGCTCCTAATCACGATGACCAATGTGTGATTCACCAATGTCTTGATTCTCGCATCAATGACTACTAAAGCCTCGTGTCGGATCTTCTCACAAGCGTCAGCGAGATTGGCCAACTCGGTGGTATATCACAAGGACTTGTTTGGGGTGCCTGCTGATGGTAGTGCTGAGCGTGTTTCTCGGACTGCAGAATTGCAAGTACGCCTCCCCTCCTTCCAGAAATTCATGTTGGTCATATCTGGATAGAGCAATCTTTTACGACAAGTTCGGGGGATCGAAGGGCAGTTGGTCCAAACTCACCACGTGGGCGGGATGTCTCATTACTTGCCCACTGCCCTCCTTCTTGATGGTCACTCCTGTCTGCAACGAAGACGAAATACAGATTAGGTCCAAAAAGCGCTGCTATGCCCACCGATTCGGGCAAGAGGTGCTGTCGCTTTTGGTGGTCTGGATAGTGAGGGCATTAGTGGGCTCGGAGGTATAGATGGCAGGGATAGTGCCATGGATCCACGAAGTAAGGCGGCAGGCACAACCAGCCGTTGCAGATCTTGCAAGTATGTTTAAGAGAGCCCATTCTTGACATCTCCAAGATGGTCGCTGTTGACCTCTTAAGCGGTCCAAGGCACGCTGTTGCCCGTCTCTTGCTATGTTAGTCCTCCACCATGGCCCTGTTTGCTTCTCTCCGACGCCGACAGGACAAATACACGACTCGTTATGCACACTGCCTCAAGAGGTTCACTTGAAAAGAGAACAAAAAACAGAAAATCAACAAGCCGAATGCCCTAAGCGCCAGGCAACGTGCAGCTCACCGCCGTCGTGGCCACGCTCGACAAATGACGAGCAGACCCCCACTTGCACAACATCTTCGTCCTGCTCCCCTTTCACCATCACCTTGATCCATCGACCGCCGCGGTTTCTAACATAGTTGTAGAAACTAGAAGAGGTTACCTCGTTGATCATTTTCGAGCCCTCGTTGGGCTCAGCACCCCCCCCACCCCTCCCACCATTAGCCTCGTCCACTTCCTTCACCCCGAATCCTCGACTCTGGCTATCCAATACCCTTGGTTAAGCTGAGTGAGGATTTCCCCAATCTCGCCGTAATGGGTGGTTAATTCTTCTTCAGTCAGATAATAACCCTCTCATCGACCAGCCGAACCTGTGGATGGAACCAAAGCAGAGCGGGCAATTGTTCCCCCTCTGCTTGAAGTCTCCAACTTCGACGATGCATGGAGCCTCGCGCGATGCTCATTGACAAGGTTCGACATGAAATAAAACGAGACCAAGAGTACTTCGCCATAATCTATGACTAGGTGCCAGAAGCCGAAAATCCCGTGGGAGCTGTGCTGTCGCAACTTGATTTTCTCTGGCGATCAGGATTCGATTTTGGGTTATCACCGAGCCAGGAGAACTGGAAGCAAGGGGTTATTTTAGACCTTGCAGAAATAGTCCAGGTGGCGACACAAGCTTTATGGCCGCCGGGAGGCAAAACACCAGTGGAAGGACCCGTCAAAATACGGATGAACTTGGCATGGCTAACGAATTGAATTACGGGCAACGTTCGGTATGCCGGTTTAAATTCAATACAATGGCCCAATAAAAGGCAAAAATATACCAATCAGGCTTGCATACAACAGCTGGCCAAGTATGACGGAACCGATTATCCCGCCTTAAACCATTATAGAACACGTTGGTATAGTATAGCGCCCTCGGATAAACGATTTGATGCATGCTTAAGGCAGAATGCGTAGACCATATGCAATACTCAATTTGCTACGCCCAAATGCCCTACCATTTATGTTCCAAATTCATAATGTTAAATCCCCGTTCACCATTGCTTATCCGTACCACCATTCTCGGTGGGGGCAACAGCTTGTTCCAGACTACAAAAAGTATTGAGGGAGATACGCCTTTATGGATTACGGTATAATAAGCTATGTCATTAGGACGCTTGATGTACCATATTTATATACATACTTATTATGAATAGCCTTCGTACGTCAAGCGAGTGAAGAGTCTGGTACATGGCGCAAGGGATGTAAGCACATAAATTTTAGTATTGGCGCTACGCCTTGGCTAACCGTAGACTGGTTCGGTAGAGTGGTATTCGTAGGCCAGCCAGCAGGGCGGGAACTCGGAGCTCTCTCGGAATGTGTCGGGGCAAGTTGCTCCGCTCTGGCGGGGTCGGTGCCGGAAGGCGGAGCTCCGGAACCGGCGCGGCCGGGTCCATCACGTCGGGCCCAGGCCGTGGCACAAGGACCCTGCCCGGCCCGCACATGCCGCGACTCGCGCGGTTGCTGGAATAGAGCAGGCTCACATAGCAAGCATGCCGGTTATCCGCCTGCGCCATCAAAGCCCGTCCATGGATATAAATATTGATATATCATATATAACATACCTGGCCTGGACTCCCTGGAGCGCCTAGCCCGTGTCAATGTGCACTTCTGTCTCGCGCTTCGCGCTCCCAGCTCCCCGCTCAGCCTCACTCACCATCGACGCCCGTCGAGCGACAATGAGGCATTAACAACCGCGTACGAGGTGCATGCAGAAAGAGGGGCTGGCGATGGACCGGCCTAGACGCTCGACTTCACGGATAAACGGCCATGCTGACGAATAGATTTGCAAGACCTGGGAAATAGGCACTATCAACCGCTACGTCTTGGCCCCTTGCTCGTCGTCCCCCTCTGCCCAAGGGCCAGATATGAACATGATCAGTAATAGTGGATGTCGACGTATTTTCCGTTCTTCTTCTCTCTGTCGGGAAGAGGCAAATCATCCAGCTTGTTCACAAGCCCGTTCCACTCGCGCTCGAGCTTGCTCTGGCGGCCCAGCCAAAGGTTTGTCTCCTTCTGCCACGCCTGCATGTCCTTGCCAGATGCGTTGAGGACCTGGGTCTGGCAGAACTCGGTTATCCTTTTTTTAGGCGGGTAAGCACCTGCTTATGCACCGCAGTGAGGAACGGGGTTGTGAACTCACGCCTTGCATTCTTGATGCCGCTGACGATAGATGGCCTCGCGCCGGGGGACGCTGCTGCCGGCTTTCTGCAGAGCAGCCGTAACCTTGCTGTCGCCACCATTGTAAATGCTCTTGAGCTTCGAATACGCGGTCCACTCGAGGGTGCCCATTGTTGATTTGGATAAAGATAAATGAAGATGGCCTTGCTTTCCGATTGTGTTGACTGGCTTGGTCCTGGTTTACAAGGTGGCATTGCGGGGAAGCCGGGAGATTTATCGTTTCTTCTCGCCCTCCTCTTGCCATCAAATCACCTAGTCGCTAGATAATCATGTCATTGACGTGGTGCTAGCGGATTGCTTCGTATGCGATGGGCCGGCCGTCAACACAACCACGGTGCAAGACTTGATAGCTGAGAAAGCCCCCGGTCAGGGTGTGGTAAGGCCGCCTCGCCATCTCTCTTGGGATGTCTCACCAGTGAATGTGACTTTACGGACGTGTCGCCCAACTGTGGGTGAAGCCAATGCAGCCTTGACCTTGCCGGGCATCACGCGGCCACCAGCACACGAATCCGCGTCCAGGCAGGGAGCATCAAGGGGTTGGTTCTGCATGCAGTCGAGGCTAACGGCCACAGCTCGATGGACGACTGGAGAACAACTCGAGTTGGCTTGGCCGAAAAGTCAGCGTCCACGCGTCTCGCCTGTTGCCTAGCGGTCCGCCCCGGGATATGATTTGGCGGTGCTGGGTGGGTGAGGCTGTAGGCCATCGGTGCCATGTTGATTGGCTTGTTGAATTGGATAGGATAGCTTATGTATAAGAGCGCTAGCTAGATTGGTCTCATGCAGAGCCAGACAAAGAAGGAAACACTCCGGAACCGAGTGAGGGTTCAGAGCATTTGTCATGCAACCTTGACCCGGGCAGAGCTAGTAGTAGTTGAAGAAACTGTGTGCTGCCAACTGCCGAGGCAGTGTCTCGGGAGACGTTGTCTGCTTTACCAGTTCCCTGACCACGTACACCCGCCTCTTATTCCTGTTTCCTCCCAGAGGACTGAATATGGACCACCTACCCTTCCCTCAAGGCGCCCAACCGCCCAAGGTGCCCTATGTAGGCACCGACTTTGTTGATGATGGCGAGTTCTCGAGGTATCCTCGACGACAAGGAATGGAGACGGACCTGCGCACATGGACCTTTACGCGACTGCCCCCGGAGAACTACCAGGCATTTTTCCAGACCTGGCTCTACTTCGGGTGCCTAAGCAAAGTGTTCCAGATAGTCGGCCTGCCTATCAACGCGGGGGAGTTTATAAACCGCAAAGAGGGTATCGTGACCTCTACGGGCCTAAATACGTATCTGGATAAGTGGCGGGATGCCTCAGGCTCTCATAAAGGGACTAGGCGCCGGTGGCAGATTCTAGGCGCCATCAGAGAGGTCCTAGACATAATGCGAAACACGCTCCGCGGCCCTTTGCAGGCGTTTCGACATTTTCTCGCCGAGCAGCATCCAGACGGCCCCGTGACAGCTTCCTGGCCGAACATCGCACTATCCATCGGGGCGCTAGGGTATACCATCCGGCGCGTCTCGGACGACCTATACGCTCCAGTTGGCGACCGAATGATGCAGAGCTGGGGCGTGGACTGGGTCCTGCAGGCGAGGATGGAGCGCTCGCATTGGTGTAAGGCCTTGATCACTAAGATGCTTAAAGGGGTAGAAGTCGACTTTCTCGTCTTTGTCGGCTCGATACCCTTTCCTCGCGCCTTCGAGAACCATAAAGAGTGCGAGACGACCGTCTGTCGCGGTAGGATTGCCGATAGCGCCCAATACCAAGTCGCCCACGCGTCGGAGCCCTGCGCGTGCGAGTCGTGGGACATGCCGTCCTCTAGTGTCAAAATCATCCGGAAAGGGGGGATTCCGCTGGCCAGATGGTCGGACCACGAGGGTTTGCAGGTAGTTCAATACCGGGAGAATATGCCCTTTGTCGCTATCTCGCACGTGTAAGTCGACCTCGAGCGTAACCAGCCACTTACTGCCACTAACCACAAGACCTTAGATGGTCCGACGGCAAAGGAAACCCGGACCGCAACGCGCTTCCTCGATGCCAGCTGCAACACATCCAAGCCAAAGTAACGGAGCTCTACTCGGTCCCGCGAAGAGACGACCAGTCCCCGTGGACCATGTTCGGGCCTTGGAAGCGCCACAGCCCCCGGAACCCCCGCAGACAGCCGGTTGGGTTCTGGATGGACACGTTGTGCGTGCCGGTGGCGGAGGAGCATAAGGACCTACGTAGCAAGGCCATCAAGCAGATGCGGGCAATCTACGAGGCGGCAGACCGGGTTCTCGTGCTTGACAACCGCGTCGAGCAGCTCGCCGTGTCAAGTAGCATCTGCGACCGTGCGGCCCGGCTTGTCGTGTCTAACTGGCAGGGCCGCCTCTGGACGCTACAGGAGGGCATTATGGCGCAGCAGCTCTTCTTCCAATTTAGTGATGGGGCCTTGGCCCTGCCCGAGCTGGAGGAGGAGGAGATTCGCCAGCGGGACAAGAGCCGGCCTAGCCCCGGCTTCTGGCACCGTGTCAGCCACGGCCTGCTCACGCTGTTGTCCATTGGTCTCATCTTTGGAAGCGAGGCCGATGTCCCTGGCGTCGATGGACTATTCGAGGCGCTGATGCCGGTTGCCAAGAACCGGCTGACAACCAACCTCGATGACGAGACGGTCTGCCTGGCCACCCTGTTGCGCCTAGATCCCGGGCCGCTCTTGGGAATTAAGAGTAGGTATTCCTCTATATCGCTTACGCAAATGCCGGAGGAAGAAAGACTGGCCGAAATAAGGCGGGTATGCGAGAAGCGAATGCAGCGGATGCTCTGCATGATCGGCAAGTTCAATAAGTGTCTCATATTTAACGAACTGCCCCGTCTATCCACGGATGGGTTCCGCTGGGCACCGCAGTCATTCCTAGGTCAGTCCGGGACGGTGTCGAGCTGGAGCCCCAACTTGTCGTACGAACCGTGGCAGGAGCGGGCATCCATCGTATATAGCCAAGGGTCCCCGTGTCCAGACAATGCTCTAGGGCTCCTTGTGGGATATCCTGGGATTATGCTGCACTCTCTCGACCCCTCCTTGATCCGGGCTGGCCGGTTCTACGTGCGAGAGAAGGCGCAAAAGTGGTTTCAGTATCGCGTATCGTTGATTGCGAGGCCGGAAGACACGGCTCAGCTCGACAAGCTCGGCGATGAGGGAAACCGACAGGCCCTTGTGATGATAGCTGCCCCCGGTGACGAGCGTGACGGGCCGCTCGCGGCTGTCTTTGGCGACTTGAGAGGAGTGAGCAGCGACGGAGTCAGGCAGCTTCGCCATCTGTGTCTAGCCAAGGTCGAAGTCATGGATTGGGGAGAGGAGAGGTGTGACGAAGACGGTAGTGACGAAAGTGAGACGGGGGGTGGTTGGCAGGAGGATGATGAGGCGGAGGAAGAGCGGAACAATGCGAACGGCACGTGCTTTGGAGGTGGCGAGAATGATGAAGACGATGAAGAGGAAGAGGAAGACGAGGAAGACCGGGACGATGGCTCCGACGAGGAAGAAGTCGACTACCACGGTGCGGAGGATGATGCCGAGGAGGATGATCAGAACGGCGACAACAGTGACTGGGCGGATACGAACTCGGACTCGGACTCGGAGCAGATGTACAAGGGCGCGGAGCCCGAGGAGGGAGAGGATGCAGTTGGTCACGGCGGTCAAGACGGCGCCAAGGTATGTGAGGACACGGACTCGGACGACGAGTCCCTTCTCGACAGTGATGCGGATGGAGAAGACGACAGGTACGCCGCCCTGTTGAGAAGCAACTCCAAGAGAGTGGGGTTGAATGGGAGGGATCGAGAACAGCCGCGTCAGGAGCAGGTGGTCTTTGGCAAGGTGCTGTTTTCCAAGAACAACAAATGGTGTATCATATAGGGTAGGCAACGGTTAGTGGGGATGCCGCCAGACATGGCGGTTGATGGGTGATGGACCCTTATCTGTAGGCGCTACAATAGGGATACGTCATGGCAGTTTATGCACCCGAGGTGTGCATTAGGCCTCGACCTGGTGCAGTGCGCTGTATAATGTATAATACTACAGTACTGTCACGGGGCTGGGGCCCTTGGCTGGGGCCCTTGGCTGGTTGTTTGGTTATTGGACCCAATGTTCTTATGTGTGGTCAATTGACAAGGCTGTCGCTTCGTCAGTAAACGCGTGACGCTGGCAAGAAATAACGTGCTGTCTAGGGCGATCTGTCCTCAATCAGCTTGTACTTTTGAGTGCCTGTGATATATCGTGAGCTGTTACGTATGTGCTTGAACTCAGACTCGACGACATCTCGCATGCTTTGGGACGTGCACGTTGGCCGATCAAGCCACCCATAACATAGGCCCAGTCACTTGAAGAGCCCCTTTCGGAGCCGTCGCGATGGGCTTTCAAGAGACAAATGGGCCGGTTCCCTCGAGTTGAAGAAAGGCTCTCGTTCCACTCAACGACGAAGTAGGAATTCAAGGGGCAGGCTCCTTTGGCGGGTGGCGACACATGCAGCTCCAAGACACTGCAAGACATGAAAGATCCAAGGCCTTGATGTAAGCACCAGCCGAAAATAGCTTTCAGAGACACTCAGGCCCACCCCCCCGAGTCACAAGAGCCTGTGGTAGCGGGACGCTAGAGCACGGGGTGCAAGGGAAGCAGATAAGCTTCGGGGGGACAATGCATGGCATCGGTCTGAGGCTGAAGTTCCAGATCCAAGCACACGACGGAGATTTGTGTGGACTGTTGCCGTTGTCGATGCTCGGCAGGGATGCCGTGTCGTCGCCTGTCCAGCGGTTCCATGCTCTTGGCAACTCATCCTCTTGTATATTCTCCTGTCCCTCATCTCGATGACACCATGGGGCTTGCGAGCACGAGCTGCCGGCCGATGGCTGTCAGACTCAGCGGATGTTCGAAGTCGTCGAAGAGTTTGACTACGGACAGGTAAAGGTCACGTGCAAAAGTCAGCACCCCTGCATGCACAGTGGCAAAGACAACCACTGGCCTAATTAGAAGATAGTATTAATAATAGTTTGTTCTTCCTGCCCGTCGCCTACGGGGGCGATCCTGGCCTCTGCTTTGTCAGCCTCGTGACTGGTGGGCGCGAACTTGCTGTAACTTATCCAATACCGTAACCACGTATTATTCATCCATGACGATGCTCAGCACAATCGCTCGTCACGATACTCTGCCGTGGATCTGTGGGGTGCGAAGCCATGGGCCGGCAATCTTTCTCCGGGAACCACCACCAAATGCAATCAAGCCTTATGAGTATGTGGTTGGGATTTGGCCGGTCAGGCACATGTTCGCGGTCACGAGCAGCTGCATTTCGACGCAGACTGTACCGCCGACTGGCAATCGTCTGGGCTTGTTGGACAGCAAGGGAGGAAGGTAGACGAGAAAGACTGACGAGTGACGAGAAAGCCCAAGGGCCAAGACTCGAAGACATATGATATGCATTATTATGGCTTATGCAAAAGTGCTCCGGACGCCGGAGAAGCGAGGACCCGCACCAGTAGTGAAAATGGGCAAGCGGCATGTTTCAGCTCGAGGGCTACCGCTGCTATTAAACCATGAGTCCATGACTGGTCCAGCCGAGTTCCACCCTAAGCTCTGTCTAAAGACCTCGTGGCCTCGGGCCCTCCCCGGACCGACCGTGCGGATGGAGCCGAAGCGGCCCGCGCCAACCCACTGAGGAACCTCGGGCGTTTGGATGGCAGGTCAATGGTAAGCAGACGCTCCCAGTACCAACAACATCCAGCCATCCATCCCAGCCATCCATCCATCCATCCCATCACATCCAAACACAAGCGTGTATCGACAATCTCCGCGCCCATGATGGTTACACAGCAGCGCTCCGTAGTTCTTCCGCATCACGTGGGAGCTGCGCCGCAACAGGTCGCCGGTGAGGCCAGTCTTGCCTTGCTTCTCGTCCCACGCCGAAGCGGGACGACTCGATTGCCCATATCCGCCGTGACGTACAAACTCGTCTCTTCCATTGTACACACTACACACACACAGCTGTCGCCTCCTCCGGGCTGACGATATCAGACAAACAGCCAGAGCCCAGGGACATGGCGCCCTGGCCGTCTCTTCCCCATCACGACCCGGCCGCGGCCGTGGACCCCAGTCGAAGCCGGTCCTTTGCCCCCAGGCTCACCGACGGCCGACCCCAGCCAGAGTTGCGGCGCATGTGGCTGCCCAGCATAACCTTCTTGCTCTACAACTGCATCACTCCGCAGCCGGGGGCCAGCAGGCCCGAGCAAAGACCCTGCCAATGCGGCGGCGAGTGGACCCTCGACAATCTGCAGACCCTCTTCTACGTGCTCTCCCAGGGGCTTGAGCTGGAGCTCGTCGCCAAGCACCTCGGCAAGTCCAGAGACCAGTGCCGTCAAGAGGTGCTGCATCTGCGAATGGTCGACCGCATCCCCAAGCTGCCCTTTGAGGAAATCCCCTTGTCTCTGCAGGGAGGCTCACGCTGGTCCGCCTGCGTCCAGATCCGCCTCTGCATCGAGCTCCGTGACGGCCGCAAGCTCGAGCAGGTCGCCACCAGCCTCGGACGCTCCGTCTCCTCGTGCAAGCGCCAGCTGCGCCTCCTGACCGACGAGGGCACAAACAGTGCCTGCGACGGCTGCGGAAGACAGCGACTCTACGTCGTCGAGCGGACAAATAGCGTTGTTTCAGCCGTGGAGGGGCCGGACCAGGCTGTCTCGGGACAATCTTGGGCCGGAGCCTCACAGGCCGGACAGATGGCCGAGCCTGAGCAGCAGCCCCAAGCCTCAAGAGACTGGCCATGCCAGTACGCAGCACAGCATGGCGTCGACAATCACTCCCTTTCACAGCAGAACGACGTGTTTCGCTGACAAGCGCTCCCTTGAAACTATGAGACTCGGCTTCCAAAGGGCCCCTTCCTCCATCTTTTGCAAACTCAGCTCTATACCTTCATTGCTGGGGCCTACAAGAAGGTTCGGCCCTTACTCGGAGGAGGGAGGATGTGGCAAATCTTGGTGACAGCCAACAACTCGTTTTGTCTTGCCTGGCCATCTCATAGTACATGAAGTTGTTGCAAGACTCGAAGCACACGATCAGTCTATGTCGCTGCAATGACTTTCGATTTATGCTCCCCGGGGGACTCTCTGGCGACGACCAATCAAACCCAACAAGGCCACCCCTTTCGGTTAACAGAATACTTTCAGCGTCCGTCCATTGGGCATTCGGAGCTTCCCTTGATTCCTTTGGGTCATCGCATGTTTCTCTCCAAGCAAGAAGAGGCAAAGGTTTGGGTCTTAATGCAGTATTAGCTGCTGGTCAATAGTGGATGTAATACGAAGTACGTCATATGCAATTATAACGTATACAGGTGGGAGTTGCCGAGGGATTGAGTGCATCGCGGATGGAGTCCATGCAAGGCCATGATTAAAGGATTTATGCTTTATATTAACCGTCCTTCAGGGATACGCCTCCCTGTTTTTTTATGCATCGGCTTTCTCAGTTGAGCTGCCGCGCATATAGCAAATCTTATTAGTTTACGAACGACCACATTTGATCGTGCCAAAGACGGTCATGATTGGTTATTATGTGTTGAAATCCATTGGCTCGACTCGTCATACCCAGAAACTGCTGCGTCCTGCATAAGAACACAACGGATCTCCCCTCGAGGCGAGGGACTTGTGGGCAGGAAGCAAGAAGGTTTATTGGGGACTCCGCGCAGAGGTAATAAGGGGATGACAGAGAGGATAGAACAAGTGCCTGGAGAAGCAGCGGAGCCTAGGCGGCAGTCATCTGACGATCAAGTTCCCGATGCTGGCTCAAATCCATGGCCCTGGCCTGTCCTTCGCGAACCCTCGGCTAGCTGCGTCACTTTCCACTAAGCGGCCGGAGTCGAGGTGGGCATGGCGTTCGGTTTCGGGGGCATGCAGGCTTCGAGGCACTTGTTGAGCTCGGGGTTGGCCAACCCATACTGGGAGAGGCAACCACCAGCACATTCCTGCACCAGGTGTAAGCAAACAATGAGGAACAACCTGAGACAGGGAATGAATACTCACTTGGACCTTGCGGTCATACTCGCTCTCCTTCCATGGGCGGGTGGTGGGCTATGTGGACACAGGTTAGTATGTGTACATGGATGGGATAGACGGGCAATAAGAGGAGACAGAATGAACGTACGGCATTATGGCACCAGTGAACCTTGCGGCAGTTATTCCCGTCTTCATCGCATTCGTCTCCCGCCAAGTAGCAGTCGGGATCGAGGTTGCCTCGGGGCTGCAGCGGGCTTGCAGCAGCGACCGCGACAAGTAGACAGAACAGCGCTGATGAACTTCATGGTGACTTTGGTCTTTGGTCGTGACGAAAGGTATGGGTTTTGTATTTTGTAGTGATGTGCTTGAGTTGGCTGGAGCAAAGAAGTGAGCAATGGCTGCCAGGGCCATCATGTTTATATAGATGAGAGCAGCCTCTCTTTAGCCAACACATAAGTTGTCGTTGACTAACGAGACACTGTAATATCCACGCCAGCCTCTGAGTTGGAGTTATTCGTGTAAACACATATAGCGGTCAGTCTTGTTCCCCTAAAAGCCCCGAGTAATAGGAAAAGAGTTTTGGTCGAGGCCCGATAAATCATGCCGCTTTCTCTCTGCGCTGCATGATTGGTTGAGTAGCATATAGACTAAGAATACCACGGCCTCTTCTGGCAGTCCCGAGCGTAGCTCGGTATTCAACAATAATGCCGCAGGAGGTGTTAATGCTAGCCCTCGACCACGAGCTGCTTGGGTCCATTGAGCATCCGGATAGTTCCAGTATATGTAGACGGCGTATTATTAGGACTGGCCTGCTTCTTCTTCTAAGAGCTCCAAATAGTGGGATGCCCCTCACGACCTCCATAGGAGGATTAAGAGCGAGCAGCTCAACCCTGTCCCTTGCTTCGGCTCCGCTTCTGGTTGCCATCCAGACAAGGCCACTTCCACTTTTCTCGCATTACTTTGGGCCGACTTGAAGGGAGGACAGGGGTAGGCGGCTTACGTATAAGCAATGCCAAGCTCTACTTGAGTTTCGCAGTATGACGTGAGTTGACATGGCCTCACTTGAGGCAATATCAGGTGAATGTAGAGGAGAAGTAACCTGTGATCTTAACTCGATGCTGTATGTAGTCGACCGGAAGCACTAGGTGATTACTTGCCTTTTGCTGAGAAGCCAAGCCGCAGACGCATTTCTCGGACGTCAAGCTATCTGTATACATTATACAACCTCCAATCCAAGGCAATCCGACATAATCAATCTCCCCTTAATCTCGAGACGGAAAAACTTCATAATACTTGCCAACTTGGGCCGACTACGTCGTATCCATTGCCTGGTGTCTCCCCCGGATGTTGACACTGCCCCAATTTTCATCTGAAAGGGGGAACCCGTGTAGATAATGCACGTCTTGCCATGGCAGTAGAATCTGCCGCCCTGAATTCATGTCAAGGCGCGTAGAATACTAAATCTGGTGGAGAATGCCCGCGGCATCTCCACCCTTTGGTGTGGGATTTTTCTCGTAATATTTTCCTCGGTGGACCTACAGGCCTTTTCCTTTACCCATCTGTCTCGTTTCCTTCTCTTTAACTCGATCTGTTTCCTATCTAGGTAGTTCGCCCAGAATCTGCGTTATTCTAGAGTATAATCGACGCCAAGCCACGAATTGCGTACTGGATCGGCATATAGTGGCTGGGGTCCTCGGCAGGCGTGGGATAGCAAAGCTAGTTCAGGGCCCTCTCCAATCGCCATGCGTATTCTCGGATGACAGGGGATTGTGAGAGCGGATATTCCTGACTCGCTGAGCCGCGGTGCCGCTATCAATGACTCTGCTGCCTTATACTCGGCGCTTACCTTTCCAAGCCCTGACGAACTTGGCACACCGGGTTCCGCGGCTGGGACGCCATCTGCGGGAGGCCTTTTCTCGAGACCAGGGACTAGACGGAGGACGTTAAGTGGCGTATACAGCAAGGCAGACTCGTCATGCTGCGCCCAGAGCCGAGTGATTAAGTCGAACATTGTCACGGCTACCGTGATGCAATTGGAAGATGACTCGACGTCTGCTACGAGCCCTAGTCGCGGTGAGCGCCGGCAGATTGGCAAATCAGTCGCCGTGGCGTTTCCCCATATTCTGCTTTGTTTTGATCCGGTTTCGAGAGTCCATCGTGAGTCATCAGAGCACATTCAGTTTGTCACTTTGTACGAACAGAGAGCAGTCGGATCAGGTCGAGCATCGACGCACTCATCCATATATCTACTTGCGGTTCCACTTGCCCTCTCTATCGAACGAAATGGTAGCCGACGCGGTTGCACTCATGTCGACCTCGCAGGTGGTCTCCTGGCCCTTTGTGATCATAGTCGACTGGGCCAGGGCGGGCTGAAACCAAAAGACGACTCTAGGAACCGGCGTGAATACAGTCTGGCCTGGTGGAAACTCAAAGGGGCTGATGTAGACTTGATAATAATGGTCAGAAGTGTCAGAGCACGGCGGCGTGAGCTGACGTTGGGATGGCGGAGTGGCCTACTGGGGAGATATTTGCCCTCCATCAGCATGGTGACGACGGCCGAGGCTGTGACGCCGTTGCGAAGCGCAAAGCTGCCTTTTTGAACCGACTTGTCGTCCTCGACGTGGTGGGTTGACCAGCGCGGGAGCACGTAGACCTGCTGGCTTGCGATGGACTCCAGGCCCGAAATGGCGATGGTGTCACAGTCTCCATCCGGCCTTGTGTTTGCGATTAGCCAAGCGGGCCCATTCGGAGTATGGCTCGACTCCCCACAAGATGACCTGTGTACCGGCCCGGAACGTCTGAGTCGAGCCGGTGATCTGATAGTCGTCGACCCACGAAGCAACCATGAGGGGGCCCACCACTTTTGCCCGCCGCTGTCAGCCGTGTGCCTGGCCGGAGCCATGGATGACGAGCGAACATACTTCCCGTAGAGGCAGCGACGTTGTAATTGGCAGAGCCGACATTGTCCTTGAAGCACATGGCCATGACAATTTGGTAGCCTCCATCATTGAACTTATCAACCCAGTAGGGGTCTGTTCTGCCCGGCCGTTAGCAAAGACCGAGCCATCGTCTGAGCAGACAGCGGGTAACTACTGGCCACATTGGATTGTTACTTTTAGCGAAGTCATTCCTCTTCGCCGCGTTTCTGCCGCCACGCGTGTCTCCCCGGGACAAATCAGAGCTGGTTACGAGGACTCTGGTGGCATACGCTTGTCTTCCTGGCGAGGAGTCGGACACTGGCAACGACGAAACGCGGGGCTCTGAATGAATCTCCCGTCGCCCACGCATATAGATTGCTGGTGTCGTGGATGTTACGCCGCCGGCTCGCCTGCAGATATGTCTGTTGTGACAGCCCTCACCGAGGACAATGTCGCCTTATTACAATTCCTGCCCAACTGAGAAGATATCCGAGTCAGGCTAAGCCGAAGCACCCTGTTTCTGGTAGAGCAACATGCGCGTCGGATGGCGTATATGCATGGATATCATTCGGCACATGCGGTCTCGGAACAACACTGGGACACAAAGCGTCAAGTCGTGCAACCTCCCTCTTAGTATCATCTGGGCGTACGCTCTGTCCGGTATCAGGCAATTCTTGGCGTCATGCTCAACAGATTACCTTGGCGACAACAAGGTGATGAATGCGTATGCATGCTGTGTGACACCGCAAGAAGCCGCTCCCGTACGCCCGCACGAATGTTACCAAGGAAGCTCATAAAACGCATATTATTGTCGCGTCTTGAAGGCTGTGAGACCCTCCGCGGAGTATTGGCGCCGGTCTGCTCCTGTCATCAGTTGTGGCGGTCGTGGCGACTGGCAACTCGCATCCACGTAGATTAAAATAACGCAAGACAAGGGGTCATACGAACCCACTCTCAAGTCACCATATCTTTAAGCAGTTAAAGAGTCTTTTCTCTTTGCGTGTAAGCAGGGCTACTACTAGCGCTCTGGAGAGTCGTGGCGTATAGTCGACACACGAGAGAGCTCAACGAGGTCTTTTGGCGCAACGGTCACATAGACCAGGACAGGCAGATTCTAAACCCCAGCAGACGGTGCCGACATTTAATATCCTTAGTGCGTTGCTTAAAATGACAACCGCTCGTCGCGGGCAGCAGCGGCTTGGTCCAGGGCCCTCGCAGACCTGATGCCCGAGTAATGGCTTGCATTCAAATACGGGTTGTCGTCCTATCGGTGTCACAGCCTTGAGCCACGCTGGGGCGAAGGGCTAGTAGTATGATAAGAGAGCTACGTGTTTCGAGCTGTGTAGTGCGTAGCATGTCACAGCGTCCGCTGATGCACGCGATCGGGCCACTTAGCATGGAGGTCCCGAAGCATCATGAGGCATCTTCGGGTACACAGAGGGAGCCTGGCAACTTGTATAAGGATCCCTTGCCCCGGCGGTCTGATTTCCGTGTCTGATTCATCGCCTCGGGTGAGCAGCATCTGCACTTGTCTGAACAGAGTCCCTGACCTTCCCGTCCGATCCACCTTCATCATGACGACTTACACGGTTGACATCAATGTCGGTACGGCAGACTATCAGCGGCCTGGTGACTTTCAAAGAATGCCTGACATGTCGCCACAGATGACTACTGGGTCGAGCAGTTCAACCTCAACGGATACCGGCTCATCATGGCCAAGGTGTTCGAGGACCCTCAGGGGAACGACTACTACAACGTCGTTGCCACGGCTGACGGTTCGTCGGAGCCAGAGTTTGGCTCGGTCCCGCAGGGCGCTTACACGAGACAGACGTCACGCCCATCATGACGGCGAAATGGACAGACAAGTACCAGATAACCGGCTCGACACAGGACTTCCGCATCGGCAGTGAGCGCGACCCCCATTGGTCGCCGAGATGAAGACGCAGGTTTTCTGTCTGACGCTGCGTCTTACTAGACACCATCTCGGGCATCTCGGGCGAAGCTGGCGTCAAGTTTCAGCAGTCGTACGTACTTGACAGCTGGTCCGAGCACCATGTCATTGACGACCAATCGGTTCCGGACAACTCGTTTGGGTTCAAAAACGCTATTACAGCATCGGCCGTCGTCCAGCTCTCTCTCAATGGAGAGTGGAAAAGCGGTTAGTACCACAACAAAAAGGAGAGTCTTCCCTGGGTCCCAAGCTCAAAGGCATGTTCGCAGTCTACATGAGCCCGTTGAAGTTCCCGCCGGGCAAAGCCATCCTGACGCCGCTTCCCAAGGTGGTGTTTTGGTTTGAGGCCCGGCTCGAGTCATCCACCATGATTGCCATGGACCAGTCGAATACCATACTCGTCAACTTGACGGGAAGCAGCAGCGCGACCCTTACGTACGACAAGAAAGGCTCCTGGAAGCGTGACAAGTCGAGACATGACGAGTAGCGGGCAGGATGACACAGTTGGCTATGAGTTGGCTGTTGCATGAAAAGAGCTTTTAGCCGTTGTATGGAGTTCTCCGCAGGAGTTTAAGCTCGGCCGGCTATCAGTGGATTTCACTTGATGTTCGCAGAGGGAAAGGAAGAAACTTAGACCAGGGCTCTTGCGCTGCCGATGACCCGACGATGGGCTATCAAGTCAAAGAGTCTCTATATATATGTTGTTCGCAAACACTTGATGAATCTCTCCCCATGTTTGCTTCATATGTCAGCAAACGTCCTTTTCCTCGCCGAGCCTGTCGTGCGGTCCGCATGACTGACAGACTGGACAGGCTCACGGGCGAAGAAGGAGTGGCCGCCCTAGCATGCCATGGCTATCGTTGAGTTTGTTGACCGGCTCCCGTTTGAGTTTCAATCAAGGGATGCAAGGCCAGGGCCTGGCCTACCCTTTGGCTCGACCTGAGGTACCCTAAAATGAGCGTTGCCCGTAAATTGGCCTCTCCCAAGCTCGAGCCAACGGGTGCGCGTACAGGAGCGCAGTCTACCTCGTCCTGAAGTCAAAAGTCTTTGGCACAGGGACCTAATATGGTGGATGATGCAGTTAACGACCAGATCATGTCCAAATCGCCCGGGCAAGGATATTGGGGCGCGCTTGGGGCGTCTACCAAGGTGAAGCCCCTGATTGAACAACTTTTGCAGTCGAATCCCAACTGAAAATACTGGGATTCCGCAGAAGTCAGTACTCAGAGCTGTAGCAACGTCTTGCCTTCTATTAGCTCATACACAAGCTCACAGCACCAAACGAGTGCAGGACCGAGATGGTGTGATAATATTGAATAGAAGATGAGTCGAGATAAACCCTTGCCACCTGTGAGTAAGTACATGGCCGCCAAGCAACAAGACCAAGGCGCTGATGACGTCCCTACTCATAAGGCTTCATGAGCTTGTTGCCCAGGATATGCTGCTCAAAGTCCGGGATATGAGTCGAATGACACCACGGCTTCAGCTCAACCTCGCGGAGAATCGTGCTGGCGAAGCATCCAAGCCAGCCCCTGCGGTCAAAGCTTCTGACGACGTCCTCGCGCGTGTCTTTGTGCAGAATCTCGGCAAAGTTGTCGACGGTGGGGTGCGCGCCGACATTGTCGTAGATGGTGGCCAGCTGGATGACCTGGCCGAGAAAGGTAATGGTGCCGTCTACGCCGAGATCCTGGTGCCGGATCATGGTCTCGCAGACGGCGTCGGCCTGGTCTTGCGGGCCGCCGGCGTCGACGATGAGCGAGCGGGCGATGATGGCACCGTGGAATTCAAACGACATGCGCGACGCCGCCATGTGCTCGTCGGCGGTGCCAATGTCGTGGAGCAGGCAGGTCAGGGCCAGCGTCACGGGCGAGAGGTCGGCTGCGTGTTCGGGAAACTGCTGTCTCACGATGGCGGTTGCTGTAGCACGAGAGTCGAAGCGGTCAGTTGAGTCGCTTGTCAGAGATGGCCGGGTTCGAGGCGGCTTACCAAAGTAATAGACTCTCATCGAGTGGTTGAACGTCTGCAGCGGCAGCTTCTGTTTTGCGTAGGCGCAGACCTTTTCGACAACGGCATCGTCGCCAGGAAACTCCATGTCGGCCACGAGCAGAGGCTCGGGCTGGTTGATGAAGGGCTTTCCGCCAAAGATGTTGCTCGGGTCCACGGGGACGGCGTGCCAGCCGTTGCGGGCGACTTGGGGCATTCTGAAACAGTGAAGAGACGGAGCTGGAAGACGGGACTGACGGCGAGAATGCTCTATCGATAATCGAGCTATCGCCAGCTCGAGCCGCTCATTTAGTCTTTATAGTCGTTCAGCAGAGAGTCAGCGTCGGCCGATGTCGGGTCACTCGGGTGCTTCAGCTGACAAATTGATAACTGGCGCTCGAGTTATAATTACCAAGAGTCGCAACTCGAAAGTGTCAACCTGAGGTTGCAACTTGCCGATTCTACAACCAACCCCGCACGGCGTTGCGCAGAGTCGGCCTTGTCTCGGCATCGCGGTCCTCGGAGACAGCGTCACCAGATCAAAATGGAGAGCACCGACGACGACGACACCCAAAGCCGCTTCCCCTCAACGCCCGTCAGCTCCGCAGCCCTCGCCCTCGCCCGCCGCGCCCTCGCCGAGCCCATCCTCAACCACTCGCTGCGCGTCTTCCTCATCGCCCAGTGGCTCTCCCACTCCCAGCTCGACGACGCCGCCGGCACCCAACGCGACGGCAGCGCTACCAAGGGCCTCGACCTGCTCTTCGTCGCCTGCGTCTGCCACGACCTGGGCACCAGTCACGCCCAGGACGGCCCCGAGCGCTTCGAGGTCCGAGGCGCCGACGCCGCCGCCAACCATCTCCGCGCCCACGGCGTCGGCGAGACAGACTGCCATGCCGTATGGGTCGCCATCGCCCTGCACACCAGCCCCGGAATCGCCGAGCGCATCCACCCTCTGGCGCGCCTGGTACGCCGCGCCGTCCTCGTCGACTTCTCCGAGGCCGCCCGTCGCCAGGCCGAGGCTGACGGCTGCCCCTGCGCCGACTTCGAGGCCCGTCTCCCCCGCCTCGGCATTGAGAGGTGCCTGGCCGATGCCGTCGTCGCCCAGGCCGGGCCTCGCGAGGCGCTTCCTCGTGTCGACAGCCTCATCTGGCCGAGCTCCGAGAAGCACCCTGCCGCCAGCTGGCCGGGCATCCTGCTGCGGGCACACCTCGAGAACCCAGGCCATGACGGCATCAACCCTGCATTTTAAGACATTGACTGCCCACGGATCCATCGCCAGGCCCAGAGTTATTGCCATCTAGTATTCACGCAATCATGCAATGCGACAAGAAACCTTGGGAAAATCAAACAAAGGCCCGTCCGTTGACCGGCATTGTCGCCGTTTCAAAAGTGATTGGCTCGGCCGTCTTCTCCACTAACAAGCCCAAGCTGCAAACACCTCGACAGCTCAAGAAGACAAAGTCCAACAAACAAGTCGCCACAGCATTCCTGCCTCCCCTAGACGCCACTCCAAGCCTGCCGAGACGGAGGCGGCGCCCCCTGCCAACGCAGTCCAACCGACCGCTGCCAGGGATCTAGATTGCTCGCATGCGCCATCGTGACAGGCTGAACCTCGACAGGCTGAACCTTGACAGGCTGAACCTGGACAGGGACATGGGGGAGGGGCGTGAAGAAACAACAAGGCGTTCCTGTCTCTCCGACGCCGCAATGCGAGTCACTCGTGCAGATGCAAGGGGACCAGCCATGGCCAAGGTCAGGCACGTTGGATCACGCCGACCAACGACATGACCGACCGGTGTATATAGAGTAAAACTAGTGTCTGCCTTAGACAACGAACCTAGCATGCACTCAAAGCAAGCTCATCCCATGGTATTCGCCTCGTCAGAGTATCCCCCCCCCCCCTTCAAAAGAACTTGCTCTTCAGTCCCCCCATCACCACATTCCGCTTCTGCTTATTCATAAACTTGTTCACATCATCCGCCCACCCCTGGCTCTGCTGCTGCAGGTTATCCATCCCGTCACCCATCATGTTGAGCTTCTCTGTCCGCTCGTTGAGCTGCCGCGTGAGATACTGTCCCCAGCTCTCCTGGCCCGCCGCCGCCGCTCCCGCCACCGCTCCCGCCGCCGCCGCAGGCCCGCCCCCGGCCCTTGCCGCTCGCTGCTCGGCCGAGGCCGCCTCGAGCATGCGCTTGCTCGGTGGTCTATCCGGCCCGCCGACAAGGAGGTCGAGGTCGAGCGGCGACACATGCTGAGTGCCCGAGATCCACTGGAGATTCGAAATGGTCGGTCGCGGTGGGCACTCGAGCTGCGGGTTGACCAAAGTGTCTGGTGATTGTTGCAGTGATTTCCCCGAGCCCCAGACGTGAATAACCGCCAGCTCGCTCGGCCCGGTCCAGGCAAAGACGTCGCCCGTTGGCGTCACCACGGCCGACGTGCCGCGACTGGCGTCCAACATGGGCAAACTGGCCTTGCCAATCTCCTTCAACGCGGGGATCGAAAAGGCACGAGCCGTCCGGTCCCCGAAGAGGGCAACAATGGCAAAGCCCTGCAGCTCGAGCTCCGCCACGCTCGCGGCATCGCAGAGGATGTCGTCAAACTCCCTGGACGCTCCCTTCGCGTTGGCTGGCCTAAACACTCGGATTTCGGTCTGTGTGACTGCTTCATGTTAGCCGACCCGAAGCAGTCCCGCATATTTCCAGCAGTTGCGAGACTCACCAGCCACGAGAGCGCCGTTGATCTGGCGTCCCTCGCGCAACCCGGCTACGATCGAGCCCGTCACCAGCGCCGGCCTCCCCGTCTCCGCCTCGATGGGCGACAGCGATATGATTTTGCCATCAAACGCCACAACCCCGGCCACCTGTGCAGAGTAGGTCCCGTCGGCCGCGGGGAGAAGCTTAAACGTAATCACCTTGCCGAGATTTGTCCCCACGAAACAGCAGATGCTCGAGTACTTGTCCTCGTCGAGCGTCATGGCCCCAAACTCAATCACCACCGGCCACTCTTTTTGCGGGCCAGCGCTGCCCGAATGGTGGTGGCCTCTGAGAAACGAGCTGCGCTTCTCCTGCTTTGCAAAGTCTGTCATGGCAGCTTGGTAGATGATGCGTGGGCCTCGGAGATCCATAATGGTCAGAAACCCCAGCTCGGACCCAACCGCGACGAAGCCCACGTTGGACACTTGGGCGGCCGTAATCGGACCCTGCATCATCTCGTAGAGCACAAACGGCTGCAGGCCCTCCTTGAGTGTCGGCTCTGCGCGCGAGCTTATGTCCGTCAAGCCCTTGGGGTTCGGGTCCAGCTGCTGCGGCTGGTCTCGCCCGTAGAACCTGTTGCTGCCCCAGCGAAAGACGGCCGCCTCGCCCGTCCGCGTTCCGACGACAAACTCTCCGGTGGTGCCGGCCATGCTCATGACAGTGATTTCGACGTCCTCGTACCGATCGAGCGCCCGCGCCATGTCGACCTGCAGTACCTGCCCGTTTTCAATGTCGTCGTCGTGACCCGAGTCCCAGATGCGAATCGTGCTGTCGGCATGGGCGGCCTGAATAATCGTCCTTTCCTCAAATCTCTTCCGGGGCCTCGCTCCCTCTGCACCGCCTTTGAGCAGAAGCTCCCCCTGATCGCGCTTCTCCATCATACTCAGCCAACGGGGCCGCTCGAGGCTCGAGACGCTGAATTTAGTAACAAAGGGATGGACGAAAAAGGTAGAGGGGTGCAGCTGGTTTGTAGGGCTGATGGGGTAGCCGGAGGGAAAGCTCATCGTGATGAGCTCCCCAGATGACAAGAGACTGATGGTTGCAATGGGGTCCTGCGCGCCGGCAAAGTGAGGGGACGCACGGGGGATGGGCAGAAAGTCGACGACTTGGGCGCCTTGGGGCAGCGGGAGAGTGAGCTGTCGCTTTCCGCCAAAGTAATCGGCCAGGGCTTGCCACGAAGACGTGGCATACGTGGGCGTCAGTCCGAGCTCGATAAACGTCATGCTCTTGGGGGATGTATCCAAGCTCTGCCCGCCGGCGACGAGCAAGCCCGTGTCGTCGCAGTTTTCCTTGCAACACCAGGCAATCTTGGTAAAGGGCTCGGTAGAAGTCAAATGGGCCGCATTGGGCGCGGGCTTGTCGACTCCCATGTCGTTGAGTGTCCTCGCGGTGATGACCTTTTCCTCCTTGGGATCCCACAAGACCAAGCTCCCGTCTTCGTGCGCGGTGACGACAAAGGTCCCCGAGGGGTGCCAGAGAGCGTGCGTCAGTCGCGGCCGTCGCATCGTGTCGACGCCTGCGCTGTTTCCACCGGGGGCGCCGGGGGGCAGGCGGTATTCGAGGAACTGGACAGGGCGGTTCTGCTTGAACGAGTAGACGACGGCGCCGTGGGTGTATCCGATGACCATCTTGCCGACATCGCGCGGGTGCATCGACATGCAGACGACGGTTGCGGCTCGGGCGTCGGGGTCCTTTTCCTTCCAGAAATTGGGCAATCGAAACTCGCGCGCCAGGCTCCTCCGATCGAGGTCGTAGGCCAGAACATCGCCATTCTGAAGACCGAGAAAGGCCCAGTCGAGCATGGGGTCTGTCACCATGGCCACGACGTGTCCGGCGACGACCTGCGCTGCCACGCGCGCGCCCGTATCGGGGTCCCAGACGCCCACCTCATTCTTGGTGTCGAGGCTGATGACGCGATTTGCGCTAAACTGGACGGCCTGGAACGACGTCGCCCGGGGCGGTTCCAGGACCTTATGAACGCGGCGCTGGCCGAAGAGATAGATCCTGCCGGGGCCAAACTTGCTCTCGCTGGTCCCGATGGCGAGGAGCGACTGGATCGGGTCGTAGCCAAAGCAGCTATCATGCAGACAGAGGTCAGCCGCCAAATCACACCGCAAGAGTGGGTGACGTACCTGATTTGGGAGTTTATGCCATAGCGAGCCTGGTCGTCGGGCGTGAAGAGCTCAGGCCGGATGCTCGCAGACAGGTCATTCTGGATGCCCGCCTGCTTGCTGCGTAGGAAGCCAGCCATGGTGCCTCAAATGTTTCGCGATGGCTCCGAAGCTGTTGGCGACGGAGGGACCAGACGACGACTTTGTCACTCCCGCCGCACCGGGGCACTCTCGCACCGGGGCTTAGCGGTGACGCACCATCTTTTGCGGGGCCAGCGGGTAATTACCGCATTGCCACAATACCTAGGTAGGTACCAACGGGCCAGCGTTGGCCAGGACCACAGCAACTCTCTCTCTACCTCTCCCTCTCTCTCTCTCTCCCTTTCTTTCTCTGAGCCAGCAACAATAACAATACAAAAGGCAATGACGCTCCTCTCTACAGAGTACTCCTCGCTCCACATCTCCCTCGGCTGCGACAAACGACGCCACCAAGGAAGGACTTCGTAACCTCGCTTTCAGTCCCACTCTTGCAAACCCCATCACTTCGAGCTGCTACGAGGCACGCAAACAAATGCATGGTTATCTTCGCTTTGCTTTTTGTTGCTACCACTAGCAATTCCTCCTCCACCACTTCAGTCTCCCCTTTTGTTCTCTCTCGTCTTCTCTCTCGTCTTCTCTCTCGTGACGCGTCAAACCAGCCGCCACCAGACATCACCAGCACCACCAAGCCAAGCAATCCTCATTTCCAGAGCCTGCCATGGTCCAACCCACTCTCCGCCTCCCTAGATGTACCACATTGTTCCACGGAAAAACTCTCGCTGCCGCATCTCGCCGTTGGCGGGCCCCTTCTCAGGATGAGGCTTCCCGCCGAGAGTCAGCAATGGAGGCGACTCTGTGCCGCGAGCGATGCTTCCAATGGTAATCCCCTTGGCCACCTGGTCACGGATCATTTCGTGTCCTTTGGCACCACCACGGAAGCCTTCGCTCGTCGCCACGTTCTCGTGAGCACGGGCACGGTTGCCCGCGAGATGGGCGTAGTACACTGCGGGGTGCAGCGAAACCGGGGTAGTCGACCGTGCATAGGAGTAACACTGATGGTAAATCATCTTTTGGAAGTCGTTGACGGGAACGTTCATCTCATCCAAGATGATGTGATAGTGCACCGGACGCGCGGTACCTTGAATGGCAACGTGGGAGCACATGTAAAAGTCCCACATGAAGGGGTGGGTGACCTCTTTCTCCACCAGAGTTCCCGGAAGAGCGTTGCCGTTGCGATCTCCCTGCTGAGGGAAGAAGCGAATGTGGTGCCTTTTGGTGGCAACCACGACCGTGAACTTGGGCGGCGGCATCTGTGGCGCCTTGTTCTTGAGGTAGAGTCTCATTTCGCGGATCTCCTGGTCAAGAACATGGGCAAACTGGCCCTCAGCTACACCATCACGGAAGTAGATGATGTGCTTGGGAAAGGCGCCATCGTGGCCCTTGCGCCACTGGTCGCACAGCTGGCCGAACAAGAAGTGAACGTTGGCCGAAGTGAGCATCTCGGTCCGATACCCGTTTGTCTCGACCATTGCGGCATATCGAGTGGCGTCCCGGTCAACAGACATGGTCATGGCCGCAGTGGAGGGCGCGTTGCCGCCGGGAGGTCCGTGGGAAATGTCGACTCCAATCATCATCGTCGGCCTCTCCTTGGGAAAGTACGTTGGCTGGCTCCTCCAGGGCGCCATGGTGCGTGAAGTAGCGCCCCCAAGCTTCGCATTGACCTTCATGCAGACGTTCGAATGGTATTGCCCGTTGTTCTTCCTGACTCCTTCGCTGTTGATCACCTGAGAGAGGATGCCAAAACGGCAATCAGCCGACTTCTTCAGGCGCTCATAGTGCGGACTGTTCTTGTGTCCGACAACTACAAAGAGCAGCTGGGTGTAGCCGCGTGACTTGGTGACCTCGTCGTGTGCCCAAGCAATAGCGTCAGCCACGTTGTGCTTCATAGTGCCAGGCAAATTCAGGAGCATTGCATCGGCCGGACAGTTGCCGCCGTGGCCCAGAAAAGTCTGGCGGAAGGACTTGGCAAACGACTGCAAAGAATTAAAGTCGACGCAGTTGTCCATAACGATGAAGGCCCAGCTCTGCAGCGGCGCAAAGTTCTGCTTCCAGAACTTTTTGCCGCGAAGATCCCAACGGCCCGAGAACTTGGGATCCGCACTGCCTTGGCCAAAATCAACCTTTGGCGGCGGCAAGATCCTGGCGTCAGTTCGAGCAAAGCCTGGCTCGAACTGGACTCCATACTCCCTCAGAAAGGGATCCTCGGAGAACTGGAGCCCCTTGACATGGTTTTCGATATCGGCTCGGCGAGTGGAAGGACGAGTCACAGCAAACTTGATCATTGCAGCCGTCTGATCCGGGTTCAGTTTGAACGCATAGCGCTGCATGGGTTCCAGGACGGCAAACTCCATCGGAAAGAATCCTGCCTTTCCCGCGTTGATGAGGGGCAAGTTGGAGAAGCGGAGATGTGCCTTGTACTTCTTACTGAAGTATTCTCCGATATATATTTTTTCTCCGTTGTCGTTAAAAAAGACCGTCCTCGCGGTCCCTCCCTCGGCGCCGTAGCTCTTGTCGAATACGAAGTCATGGACCGTAAAAACTTGGTCCTTGTTGGGTCGGTTGGGATGCACGACCTTGAATTTCAACCGGCGCAGCTTGCGGAGTTGCTTGAAGGCATCCGACGACGCCCAGGTGCCGCTGTGATGCTTCTCCGGACGCAGGTGCTGAGCGACACTGACCGGAGTCAAGCCGCTCCAGCGTTTCGGGTCGCACCCGGCGAGGAAGTTACAGAGCACTGTGTCCATAGTCATGCCGCCGGTCCAAAATACGGTGTTGGCAACGTCGGCGTTGAGAGCAAGACCGATGCCTCCGCGGGCCAGGTTGTGGCTCATCCTGACCGAAGCGTACAGGCCTTTGTGGGCCTCGATGTAGCAGCCTGCGGCCATGAGGGGCTTCCCTCTCTGCTCCTCATTGTAGAAGTTCCGCTTGATGGCCAACAGGTTTTGCGAGGGAAACTGGCGAATCAAATGATCGATGAAGTTCAAGGCCACCTGGACGCTGGTGTTGAACGACGTCTTCTGGTCCAGGTAGCCCTGGAGGGCTGCCATGTTGACCGTCGTTGTCGAGCGAATGGAGATGAGAAACTTGGCTCCTTCGCGGGCGGGCTCACCAGGTGGGCGTTTCCCCTCGTCAAGGTCGACGGTGAAGCGCACTTCGCCACGGTTAAGGTAAACAGCCGCCCAAGCCAGCTTTCGACCGTCAAAGATCCACATGGGATAGTTGTACTTGGCCAGGGCCTGCTTGGTTGTCTCGTGGGCCCAAATCTTCTTGAGCACGACAGCCTTCTTGTCGATGTCTGGCGAGATGGTTACCTTGAGACATGTTAGCCGTGGAGCCGAGCACAAAGGGGGGCTGGAGACATACATCGTACTGATGAATCTTCTTGGAAAAGTCGAAGGCCTTCATCCTGTACTGATTGACCTCGACCGTGGCAGGCTTCCCCTCCGAGTTCATCTTGTTTCCTCGAAGGGCGAACATGCTCTTCTGGGTGTCCGAGACATAGGCGTCAGGGGGTAACTCCATGCGAGTATTGCCGCGATCTTCCTGCTTTGCAGGCTTGGCTGGATCGTGGCCCATGCTTGGGGCCCAGCCAGATGCTGCGGATGGCCCGGCAGACGAGCGGGCTGGCGAAGCGCCTCGGCTAGCCTGGCTCTGGGCCGATTGCGAGGCCGCGCGACCGGGGCCCGGGCCGCCGGCCGCTGGAGGCGCGGGAGATCGACCTCTGTCAGACATGCTGCAATGTCAAGACAAAGCGTCAGTACTGGTTCGATACAGAGGCCAAGTAATAGGGGAAATGGAGGACTTGGGGTTGGCTAAGGTGCAGTACGATTCGTGTGACCCAAGACCGCTTGGAAGGGAGCCAGGTGGCCAGCAGCGAGTGTGGGTGCAGCTTCGATAGCGTTGTGCAGGGCAGGTTTGAATGAGTACGAGAGATGGAAAAGAGCGGAGGAGAAGATGCAGGCGAGCGATGAAGGGAGAGTGCAGGAGGGAAGTGAAAAGCGATGCGGCAGACTCAACAGAAGAGCAAAGGCCAAAGCGGGGTGGGAGGGGGGAGGAAGGGGCCTGGCTGCCAGCTGTCAAAAACACTCTGGCAGTTGACGCTCAGTGGCTTTGCTGCCTGAGGCTCATAGGATGCGAGGGGGGGGAGAAGAAGGCAAGCCGAAGGGCTGTGGAAAGAGGCGAGCCCGAGAGGCAATCTGAACACGAAATTCAGACGCTCGGCGGTAGAGACGAAAAAGAGAGGCAACCTACCTGAGCAGATGGTCGGTGTTGGAGGTGTTGTTTTCGCTGGAGGCCTTTTGGTCAAGATGGTTGTTGGGAATGGGTCGAAGACGAGACGAGATGCCGAAATTTGGATTCTGGAGAGACGAGTCAGCGGCTGCGAGATGGAAACAGCTTGTTCTGATGATGACGAGAGTGGGAGAGGTCGGTGGAGGAAGAGAGTGGAAGAAGAGAGGGGAAGAAGTTGGTAGGTGGAGGGAGGAAGAGGGCGAAGAAGGCTGCAGTGGGAGGCAGGTGTGGTGAAACGAGAGGCTGACGGGCAACACCTCGAAGAGGCAGCTGCCGGCTCTCGACGCGTGCGTTTTTTGCTGCAGCAAGCCCACAAACGCGTCTTGTTTGCTGCGGCGAGGCCAGGGAAGCCGAGCAGAAGCTGCAGCCCTTGCGATGTCAAGGCAGGAGAAAGGTTGTGATGATGATGGTGATGATGATGATGATGATGATGATGATGAGTTGCAAAGGAAGCATCAACTTACTTACCCGCTGTTTCTCGAGGCAAGAGGCAAGAGGCAAGAGGCTCTCGTGATGTGAAGAAGAGAAAGAGAAAAGAGGGAGAGAGGAGGGAGAGGAGGGAGAGAGCAGGTTATTTATCTTTGTGCCGTTTGCCTGGTGCCAGCCAGGTGGTAGGCAGTGCCGTTGCCTGGGGCAGACTCACGTGCAGTGCAGTGCGGTGAATTGTGAACTGTGAACTGTGAACTGTGAATTGCAAGCACCAACGCAACGCCTCGACTCGCTGCTGCAAAGATAGAGACACCCCAATGGCTGTTCAGGCTCCGAGGCGCCCCGTCCCTGGTTGCCCTCGAAGCTTGATTGGCAGAGGCTGGCTGAGAGAAGAACCCCGTGCCCTGACATGGCCGAGGCGTACGACTGCAGTCAAGAGAACAGTGAATCGTGGCCGGCTTCACTGCTCTATTGTCTCTATTGCTGCAGTCTATTCTGTCTCGGCACCAGAGCGAGAGGTGGCGGCCATGCCAAGCACTGCCTGCCCGCGTAACCATGTTTCGTCCCGGGCTCCAGATGACGAGACGGCTGCCCACAACAGTCAGTCGCCGTTTGTCCTGAGATTCAGTCGCTTCGCTTGGTAATATCCATGCTTACCAGCTACGGTCTGCACAATGAACGCCGTCACCGTCCGCCAAGGCCCATCGGAGAATGGCACGAATGGCACGCACCTCCAACGCTTCCCTTGCCACCAGCACGCTTCACGCCCGCGTCCAAAAGCAATTCGGAGGGCAGCTGTATCTGTTATCTCATGTGAGGCCTACTGAACGCCAAGACCTGCCATCTTGTCTCCCCCCAACCCCCTCCCCAAGCCTCAAGGCGAGATGCCCGCGGGAAAACAGCCTGCCGAGCCCTGTCCCGTGTCTACCAAACGCCGGTGCAACATGCTTGATGGGTGCCAAAAGCAATCAACTGGTCCGCCCACGCCGCCCCGTGGCCACTTGCTCAAAGAAAATAAACCTCATTGATATCGATAGCCGCCATACTGCCCTGGCGGACCAAGCGAAGGCGCGCCATGTCCTCCTGCAAGCGGGGGCCAGACAGGAGGCACCGCACCGGCCTCGGGAGGCGCATACGGGTTTGCTGCATATATCCCTCCGCTCTCCGGCCTCAGAGGCGAGCCGCGATAGCCTCCCGACGACGCAGCCAGTCGGCCATACGGGCTGATTGGCCTGCCGCCGTAGTCTCCAGACGTCTGCCGCCCGTGGGTAGGCGCCGGGGCCCGATATTGCCCGCCTGTTTTGGCCCGCCAGGTGCTGTAGTCTGGGAGGGGTGTGTCACGGAGAAGGGAAACCATGGCTGTTGGGTTGAGCCTTTGTGCGTCGTAGCTGGGAGCCCGCGGGAGGATGCCGAGGAGAAAAGTAATGTCGCGGTGAAGAGCCGACGACTGGTTACGGCGCTGCTGGTCGAGACGGCGTCCCGCAGCACCCTTCAGAGGCGACGCGCCTCTAGCGAGCCTCTTGGGAGGGTTGAGCTCCTCGTCGTCGACGCCAAAGGGACGCTTCGGCGAGGCTGTGGCACGGGCGAATTGCGGCCGGGGGCTCTGCTCTTGACGCGGCGGCGGAATGCTATTTCTCGCCGACACGGGCTGCTCGATGGTCGGGATGATTTGCTTCGGCCGCATCTGCACAGTCTTGGAGATGATGATGGGCGCGGCAACAGGATCGAATCTGTCGGACGAGTAGCGCGCCGTGAAGTAGCTCAGCTTGGGGTCATAGGGGAAAAGTTCCCTCATTCGGTCCTCGAGCTTGGAGATTTGAGACAGTTCGCCGTATTGCGACTCGTACTTGTGAAAGTAAGCGTAGAGGGCCTTGGCCTTGTGCAGCGTCTCGGGTTTCGAGACGAGGCGGTTGGCGCAAGTCTCGAAGACCACGCGGGCATCTGTCTCCTGATTAGCACGAGGGCCGCGGTATGCTGTCAGCACAAGGCGATCAAACTCACTCGTCGTGTCGTCCTTGGAATGCAAGAACTTGATGTACTCTATCATAAAGTTCTCGTCGTTGGGGAACAACCGCGCGCCACGCTCAAAGATCTTGGACCCGACAGGATCCTTGTACACCACCGACTCCAGCATGGCTACGGCAACGTACACGTCGCTCGTGAGGCGTCCCTTCTGCCGAGCATCCGTAAACACCTTGCGCAGACCGCCTTCGGTCTGGTTTCCCTTGCCTTGGATGCGCCGCATCGCGCGGGCCAAGGCGACCCAGACAAAGGAGATTGTGCGTGACAGAAGCTGCGACTCGGCGGCGTAGGCGTTCTGGATCGCTGTGACTCGCTCTTCCATGGGCGACTTCTTGGGCTTCTTGTCTTCGTCGTCCTCGTCCTCGTCTTCGTCGACCGGCTCAATCGATTCCTGCATTGAATGCTCTTGTGCGGCAGCCTGCTTCAGCGTGCTCACCTCGAGCTTCTCTCGTTCCTTGACCTTGTCGCCCATCTTGTATAGCGTCTCAAGGACGGCATCGTACGGTTGCCGAACGGCCTTGGCGTACTCTGACCTGTCTCCCTCCTTCTCTGGGTAGTGTGCCTCAATGTGGTCCGCGTGCTTAAAGGCAAGCAAAACGCTTTCCGGGTTTGCCGCGATGCCCTGCAGGAGCAGTTCCGTCCCGACAGGCTTGCTCTCATTGTCGCGCACTTCGTTCTCCAGGCACCAGGCAGCCGCATCGACCCAGATCTCGGGCCAGAATCGCAAAGCCATCAGGGCCTGCTTGTAGCAGTACAGGACTCTCTGCTTGTACACCTGTGGCTCGTCGTCCTTGAGAACCAGTGGGTCGTCCTTCTCCCAGGCAATCCACTTCTTCCACAGCTCCACCTGATGCCTGAACTCCTCGTCGCCGTCAAATCCAGGTGCCGGAGGCAGTCGAGGCAGGTTATTGCGCTTCAAGTGTCGCATCATGTTGTCGAGAGCAATGTTGGCGCTCTTTGCCGACATGTATCCGGGAGACCTTTCTTGGATGAACTTGCGCCCCTGCGATATGTTGGTCAGCCGAGCCGGTTGCTTGGAGTGGCAACAAAACTGCATTACTTACCGTCACCTTGTTGAGGGCCATTTCAAACTGGTCATACTCCTTCCACATGTTATTGACACTCAGCATGGGAACGGCAATGGCGCGCTGGTACGCCTTTCGAAGCTGATCCATCTTTTGCTGGTCCTGCCAGCCCGTGCCGCCAACCTGGCCGGGACCACTCTTGACAAAGTTAATGTAGTCCTGCCAGATGTTGCCAGAGTCTCGGTCGACGCCGACGTTGTCAATGACAAAGTCGTACGACTGGGCTACGGTCCGCCTGGCCTGGCCCGTTGCGTCGTTGGTGAGGTCATTGCGTCGCCGGATGTAGTTGAGATAGACGGTCCAGAGCTTTACGTTGAGGACGGACATGAGGCTCCGCCCAAACAGCCGCTCAGCCTCGACGAAATTGTCAATACCAAGCTCCATCTCGATCCACTCTATCCAAATATCGGCCTGGAAAATCATTGTGAGCTCAAGGGCACGCCATCAAGGCAGAATTGCCACGGCATAGCCACTCACCGCTTGCGGAAACACCTCGGCAAACCGATTGTACACCTTTCGCAGGTCATCGAGCCTGCCCCGGCGTTTGTGGTCGGCCACGAGGTTCAGCCATGCATCCATATCTCCGCGCGGATCCTCCTTGATGCGCGCCTCGAGGAGCGCCACAGGATCGAGGGTAACAACTTGGGGCGTGCTGGAGGGGGCGTCGACAGGGGGCGCAGGGGAAACGCCGTTGCCGACAGGGGCAGCCTGGCCTTGCGTCTGCAGTGCTCCTTCTGGTGGGTCTTGGTTGTCAACGTCGTCCTCGTCGTCCGAAACCTCGACTAGGAAGCCGCCCGACATTTTGGGCTTGGCCGTGGGCGGCCGCTGCGATGTGGTGGCCGAGGCGCTTTTGTCGGGGATTTGAGGGGTTGCATCGAAAGAGACGGATTCAGGGTCATAGTCTGCCCCGTCGTCTGCGTCATTCTCGTCTTGCGCTGCACCAGCCACGCCGATGTCTTGCGCAAACTCGTCGGCTTGCTCGTCGGCGCGCTGAGCCGCGGCGTCGTCAGTCGCCGCAAATCCCCCTCCATCCCAAGCCGCTTCTTCAGAGGCCATACTGCGCAGAGGTTCGAAGCTAGGGGAGAATTGGGTCGGGCAGGGGCAATGACTGCCAGTTGTCTGCTCGGCGCAGGGCTTCGCGCTTCGGGCCAAGACTTGGGGGATAGAGCAAGGCCGGGATAGAGCAAGGCGGCTCGACCCGGAATGACCTCGCGGGATCAACCCTTGATTAAAGAAGGCAGTGCGACAAAGGATACGAGGTCGCTGTAGCTGCGCGCGGAGGAGGCGAGTCGTGCCGGGGATCGGATTGTGCTTGTCCAAAAACCGCCAAGAAAACTCGGAGGCCCAGCAACGACAAGTCAACAGCAAAGCTCACGGCCGTCTTCAAGGAGGCTGGGGCAGAAAAAAACCAGGAAAGGGCTTAGCGGGTTCCGCAGGCGGTGAGGCTTTCTCTCAGCACTGACAAGGTACCGAGGTACCTCCTTACAGGGGCCCGCTCACTGTGTGCGCTCGAAGCTCAGGCATCGAGGTACCCAAGTATCTTTTGTGTTGGTCCCCGGTTTCTTGCGGTAGCCAAAGGCCAATGCGATAATCAAGGTCCTCTGCGCAACTTGCAAGCGAAATCACTTGCAAGCGGTATTAGTACAGGGAAGCTGGGAATGGCAGGCCCCCTGGAGCTGCTGGTGGGGCTCGTCTCGCGGCGCGTCCCAGCCCATTTAAAGTCTTCGCGTCAAGCTCCCGGTACTTGTTCTGGGAAGTGACCTCAGTCCCTGGCGTCCGAGGTACTGCCATCTTCCGGTACTTTCTTTCCCGCCCATTGGCCCATCACCTGTCGCACCTGTCTCTTAGCCAAGTAAGGTACTTCTTGCTCATGACACATTGACCCGCCCGGTCGCATGTACTGTACAGCAATCGACTGCGATAAAAGTAGCGCCACCTCTCAACGCGGTACACCCAGGCGCGTCCCGCCAGTGCGTCACGTCCTGGATTCTTACCACCCTCCCTCCCCTCCTCCCCTCCGCCCCTCTCTCTCCATCTCCCCATCTCTCCATCTCTCCATCTCTCCATCTGCCTCGCGCACAGTCTCTTCTCCCACCGACCAAGACACACATCCTCGCCTGTCTCGCCAATCGTCTTCTCTTCTCTTCTCGACTGCCTTCCTACGCGCACACTCGCAGCTCTCGCAGCTTCGCACCCCTCTCTCCCCTGTCTACTTCTCCCATCCCATCGCGACACCACGGCCCTCGCTGACCCGCGAGCCTCTCCGCAAGGCAAATCACTTCGCATCGCCGTCGATTTCCGGCTCCCTCTGAGACACGACACGGGCTTGGCATCTCCGCCAGTACCCTTCGAATCGCTGAACCATACCAGTCTACGTCAGGCAACAATGTCCGTCGTCACGCTCTTGGGCGTCAAGGTGGTGAACAACCCCGCCAAGTTTACCGACAAGTACGAGTTTGAAATCACTTTCGAGTGCCTCGAGGCTCTGGAGAAGGGTTCGTCATCGCCCTCAATCTCCGGCATTCTCATGAGCCCGCCCGCTAACGCCCTCCAGATCTCGAGTGGAAGTTGACCTATGTCGGGTCGGCCACTTCGTAAGTTGGACATCCACGCCGCCGCTTTGCCTGCACATGGCTTACATCTTCCAGGGACCAGTATGACCAGGAGCTTGACTCCCTCCTCGTTGGACCCGTCCCCGTTGGCGTAAACAAGTTCCTCTTCGAGGCCGATGCTCCCAACACGTCCCGCATACCCGACGCCGACATACTTGGTGTTACCGTCATTCTCCTGACGTGCGCCTACGATGGCCGCGAGTTTGTGCGCGTCGGATACTACGTCAACAATGAATACGACTCGGAGGAGTTGAGTGCGGAGCCCCCTGCCAAGCCCGTCATCGAGCGCGTCAAGCGTAACGTGCTTGCGGAGAAGCCTCGCGTCACCCGCTTTGCCATCAGATGGTACGTCATAGCCCTTGAATGTATGAGGTGGCTTGTTTCTACGTTGTCTCTAACAATGTCTCCAGGGATTCCGAGGCCTCTGCCCCTGCCGAGTTCCCGCCAGAGCAGCCCGAGGCCGACCTCGTAGCGGATGGCGAAGAATACGGCGCTGAGGAGGCCGAAGAGGAAGCCACCGAAGAAGTCGAGCACGACGCCGAAGCCAAGACAGCCGGCGAGGACGCGGAGATGGCCGGTGTGGATCCAGAGCCGGAGAACGGGCAAGAGAACGGACATGAGGAAGACGGCATGTCCGACGATGGCTCTGTCGACATTGAGGGCGAGAGCGAAGACGAACTCGAGGAGGAGGAGGCCGAGGCCGAGGTTGGCGAGGACGACGCCATGGAGGTGGACGAGACCGAGAAGCCAGCCAACGCACCCGCATCCAAGCCCGTCACTGTCGCTTCTTGAGCAGTGGGAGGAGGCACTTGATATTGCAAAAACTTTGGGCTGTTAATTTTTATTTTCGTTCGTATCCTTTCTAGTCTTCACTTGGATCAGCCAGTTGGCCGGGCTGGACTAGACTCGGGCGGTCGCCAAGGAACAAGAGGAGTTTTTCTGTTTCTTTTTTTGATACTTTTTACGAATACAACGAAGGGGAGGGATGATGATATCCAGAGGCTGGTTTTATCGTAAAAAAAGAAAGAGGACATGATGGCTTGGTTACTGGCCGATATCCTCCAAAGGGGCACGCAAAGTACAGCCACTTTCTTCTGCATGCAAACGCCCCAAGTCTCATGGTATCAAGTCGAGTAGTCGCTCCCCAGTGACTGGCATGTCGTTTGCCAGATGTCCAGCGCCTTGTTGTATAGATGAAGGAGAAATAGAAGAGGCTGGCAGCGCGTGGATTGGGGTTTGGGATGCTCACGTCGTTCTTGTTCGCGCAGCACCCACTCCTCCCTGGGGCGAGTCATGGTGATGCCGGTGCGACAAACCGAATGAGCATTATTAGACGGGTTAGATGCGTATGAAAACCCTGTCATCCATCGTACAAAGTCCAACCCAAGCCCAAGCCCAAGACCGTCCAAATCACATGTTCCCGTCGTCCTAAGCCTCAGCGCCGCCGGCACAGTCCATTACGTTGGGTCCAGGCAAGATTCCCTCCCCGTCCTCTGTCCGCAAGGGATAGCATCGCCCAACGCCCGGTCCGGTGGTTAGCCAAGCACCTTTCCTGTGAACGAAAAGCACGCGTCGCCTCTATCACAGAATCCCTCGTCTTCATTTACCGTCACTGCTCATCCAACCGACCGGTGCTTCTCAGCTCGTCATGACGGCCAAGCACGTTCCTCCGGGCATAAACAAAGAACGTAAAAAGACAGCAAGAAAACGGTGCAGGGCAAAGGAAAACAGACCAAAGACCATCGAATATCAAGCGGCCCGAAGAACCAGTTTTCCACCACGGGCCAGCCGAAGCAGAAATCCAGGGAGCTTCCTCTCGAGGTATCACGTAGTGCATAGGTGAGCGAAATGCCTGCAACTTTGGAAACAGGAGGTGGGTGGGAAACATGATCCTCCACAAGCTCTTTTTTTCCTGTAGCGTGCATGAAATGGAGCAACAAAGTCAAAAAAGGTTTCCGTGGTATCAAGAAAATTGTCCGTAACGCCAGTGTTGCTTTGTCGGCATAGCCATGTGTGTTTGTTTGAGGGATGTGCGTCGGGGCTGTGGAGCAGAGCCGCTTTACCATCCCTTCTTTCGGGCGAAGCGCTTGTTGAGCAGGGCCAGGACCTTGGGCACATTGAACTGGACGTATTCCAGATCGAGTTCGTCCTGGTTGTCTTTCTGCATCTCCAGCAAGTCGTCAAGCTTGAGATCCAGCTCCAGTAACCCACGGTTGCGGCCTTCGGGCGGCGTTAGCAAGGGGAATGCCGGGCTTCTTGCTTCTTGAATGGGAGGTACCCCTAGACTCACCTTTGTAGTGCAGCGAAATGACAAACGTTCCCGGCAAGGGGCTGATGAAGTTGAAGTAGATGTTGGCCCGTCTGTTATCCGGAACATTGCTCTTCTGGATCACGCCCTCCTTCTCGAGCTGCTGGTGCGTAAACTTGTACGGTCCGAGCACTTGCTGCTTTTGCTGCTTCCGCTTTGTCCCCTCGCTCTGCGATCGCACGTTGTGGAGATAGCTCTTGTATGTCTCGAGCTGGCCAACGAGATAGGTGTTGTGATCGCGAATCGTTTTGTACACCTCCTCGAGCTTCTGCGTCTCGACAAGGACTCCATCCTTGAGGGAACCGAGATGTTGCAGCTCCTGCTCCACCTCGTCTCGCAAAAGGTCGAACTGATCGCTCTTGTCGATGACGCCAAGCTCCTGCAGCTGCGAGAGCAACTCCATTGCTCGAATACCCTTGCGGACCATGACGGCGTCGTTGCGGCTCGTGGCAGCAGCGTCTGCGATCCGTTCCAGACGGAGGGGCCGTTTCAACACGGCGCTGCTATGCGGTATGGAGCGCATAATTTGCACGAAGATGGACTTGGCTTCCATAAAGAACACTTCCTCTTGCGTGATGTCGAGCGCAGCCGTCAGGTCGTCGATGGCTGTCTCCCACCTGCTGAACAGCGACAGGTTGATGACCCTGTTCTCCTTTCGCGGAAGCTGGGCAGGGGCAGGGCCAAGCTCGGACATGATGATGGCCAAATGCGAGTTCTCGTCCTTGCATATCTCCTGGTGATGCTTGTCAATCAGAGCGTGCATGGCGTAGATTTCGTTGAGTGTGATGTCGAGCTCAAGATCCTTCTTGGACAGCGCAACATAGTTGTCCATTTCAAGGCTCTCGTAAAAGTCGCTAACCTCGCAGAGATCGAGCATGAACTTGTTGATCCTATCCTTGTTCTGCTGGATGAAGGGCTGCAACTTGGCCATGTACGGTTCCTTGGCGTACGATGGCTTGTTGGCCAGGTTCTGGAGCATCTTGGCAATGAGAGTCAAGGTACGACGCGGACGCTCGGCCGGTGTCCCGTCGATGAGCATGTACGACTTTGGCGTGACGATGGCCGGGTTAATGAAACGCAGGAAAAAGAAGCCGCCAATCAGGGTACAGATGACCTGGTCGTTGGCGTCCGGATACTTTCGCTTCGTCAGACTACGAATCTGCTTGCAGATCCAGCGAATACCGTACGGAGCCTCCTCCAAGCCGTCGATGATGGTTGTCAGGAATCCGTTGGCGATTTCCGTCAGCATGGTCAGTCTCGGCTCGATGATGGCCTGGACCTGGGGGTTCTCGGCGGCCTGCTCGGCAGTGATTCCCTTGGGCAGGTTGGGTGGCAGGGTGCCAGTGTCCTCCTCGATCTGTTCAATCATGCGCTCGTAGACCTTGAGGGGGTTGATCTCCAAGTCGAGGTCCTTGAGCTCAATCAGGCTGTTGATTCTATCGGCCAGCGCTGTCTTGAGGAAGCTCTGCCCCGGTCCACGTCTGGTGTACGTGGTCATCATCCGCGAGACGGGGGTGTTGGCTCGTAGGAGGGAGGAGTAGTCGGGCGTGTTGTCGAACTGGTAGGTGAGGACAGACTGGAGTCGAGTTAGCAAAAGCGCTCACGCGACATCAAACCCGACCTGACGGTGCTGACCTGGAACATGGTGAGAAGCAAATGCTCCTCTCGGCTCTCATACTGGTTGCCGTAGATTGTGAACATGACGGTCTGCAAAAGCGAATCAATCTCAGCCATGGAAACCAGCCTGCAGAGGTGAGCAATGTGTCTCGGCTCGGACTGGAGGAGAAACATAAGGTTTCCATATTTTTGCGTCTTATCATCGTTGGGAAAGAATCCCTCCTGCATATCAGCAGCCTCCTCGAGGCGACTGGCGACTTCGTTTTGCTGCGAACAGGCGTTAGCAGGTTGAATCTAGCGGTCTCGATGGGGACTGTCGATACGGCGGCGTACCTCCTCCAGGGCCATGCGATTCTGTATCAGGAGCGCGATGCGCGAGTCGAGGTATCGCACGTCTTTCTCGAGCACGAAGTTCTTCTTGGACTGCGACGAGATCTTGGACTTGAGCTCGCGGAGAGCCTTTTGAGCTGCAAGGAAACGGATGTTAGCCAGGGACATGGGCGCTAGGCTTTGGTTGGTTTCTGGAGTTGCACCTTTGGCAAGTTCATCCTCAATCTGCATTTCTCCCTCGTTTGCTGACATGGACATGTACAGCGCGGACATGGAGTACCGCTTGGATTGGCGCGCAGAGCGCGTGCCATCGTAGGATGACATGGTGTTTTGACGTGACAGGTTCTGGAAAGAAGATGAAGAGGCAGTGGAGGCTCGTGAGGGCGTCTGGAGCATGACGGGCATGGTGCGATGAGGCGGAAGTGCGAGGGCAAGGAAGAGGACTCGGGTGGGATTGAACGGGCGGCCTCGAGTCTTGTTTCGGGGAGCGTCGTCGTGAACGCGAGGGGCGAGGTCGGGTTCGGGGAGGCCCCGACAGTGGCGTCAGGGGAGGCTCGCTCGACGTCGTCAACCGTCAGGCGACGGAGAGCGAGGGACGGGAGTGAGCGGTCAAGCAGCGGGGCGTGTGCAGATGGGTCGATTCGACTTCATTTATCTTGTGCGACGCTGCGGCCGTGAGCAGCGACGACTTGGGATGGAAGAGAGGATGGCAGCCGGCCGAGGGGAGCAAGGGGGTGTCTGCGGACTGCTGGCGTAAATTGACACAAGGGAGGACCAGAAGCCACAACATGCGACGCTGTCAAGCCAGGCGCAGTTCGCGGGGGCGCAGGAACAGGCAGTTGCGGGCAACCAAAGTCGAACTTGGGATGACTTGAACCCCTGGAAAAATCGATCGAGCCTTGCGGGAAAATGGAGCGTTGCAGGCAGGATGCACAAGGAGATCCTCAGAGTCGAGAAGGTTAGGCGAAGCAAGGTGAAGAGAGGCGAGGCGAGGCGAAGCAAGGCTAGGGAGGCGAGGCTGGGGGAAGGACAAATGAAGGCGAAGGCGTGGAGGATAAGTCGTCGGCTGTCAGCTAACTGTTTGGCGCTCGTGTGAAACGCTGCACAGCCAGTATGGCTATTGCGCAGAAGAGGCTCGCAGTGGTTTTTCCCTCTTGCCCCTGCTTGCCTGGAACAGTTGTGGCTGTTCAAGGGCGGCTTTCCAACAGGGCCAGACGCAAGCGACGCAGTTCGAGGCGGCAGGTGGAGCGGCGGCTTCGGGAGACGAAAGATTCGAATGATGTGGTTGGAGAAGACGGCTGATGCGGATGATGAAAAGGACGAAGGCAAAGGCGATGTGCCTTGTTTGGTGGTGGTGGTGATGATGAGATTGGGAGGAGGGGAGGGATGCGTCAGGAAGAGTCAGGAAGAGTCAGAGGAGGCAGCGGGAAAATGCGAGAGTGGGCTGGCTGGTCGGTTGGATGGCCCAATGGACTCTTTGGACGAGGTACTCGGTACTCGCCGGGTGACGGGCAGGGACAGTTGTGGGGGGCTTTGGGGAAGCATCGGCGGCGCACGAGTGGAGGGCTCGGTACCCGATAGATTGCCAGTGCAAGTCAGAGCCTGCTTCAGCTAGGTACCGAGTACCACTGATGCTGAGTGCGGCTAGGTAGGTAGGAAGGCACAGGTAGGCACAGGTAGGCACAGGTAACTTACCTACTACTACTACTTGAGACGGGCACGCATGGGGACGAAGACTTGCATACGCGGGTTACGACTATTGATGATGATGATGATGAGGCGGTTGTTGTATAGGTTGCTTGCGGAGTATTCTTCGCGCTGGCAGCAAACAGGGAGAGCACCAACGAGGCAGGGCAGGGCAGGAGCCCAGTCTCAGACGTCGGTTTCTGGTGAGGGGGCACAGGATGGATTGGATGGATGGCTCGGCAGGGACAGGGGGGAAACAGAGGCCTCACTTCGTCATCGGCTGGGCGAGTCAGCGAGGCCCGGGCCAAGCCTGTACTAGGGGTAAGACGCCTGCAGCCACGGGTCCCGTATGTACCAGGTAGCAGGTTTGAAGGCAAGGTGCACTGCCTGCCAGAGTCTCCAGTAGTACAGACACCCCTGTACCACGGCGTCCCGACACAGCCTCCAGGGCATGCAGGTTCTCTTCGGTACTTGCAACAGAGGGCAGACCAGCACCGGTGCCCTGCATATAGAGCCTCGGGGCCTGGTAGTGAGAGCCTGGTCGCCGGCGCCCAGTGGAGCGGCGTCGGTTCTCGGTACTCGGTACATGTCCAGCAACAGGGGTTTGGATGAAAGTCAGGCAATCAGAGGTTGCACAACCATCAAGCCAAGGCTGCGATAATCAATCAGCAGGCCCAGAGGTCAACTGCCGGGCAAGTTTTTGTGGCAGTACCATGTATTCGAAGCGTTGAGCCGGGGCGTCCGGACAGTAGGTAGAATGTAACAGCGACCTGCTCCGTGACGTCTCCGTGAACAGTACTGAGCGAACTGAGCGAACATGGACGGCCGATTATGGCTGAATCCTGTGCAGCCGGGTATCAGGCAAGGTGAAGAGCGGAAAACAAGTTTGTCGACGAGAAGCAGACGACACGTCACCGCATAACTTACATGATACTGCAAGGTAGATAGATGGAAGGATAATAGATAGATGGCTGCTCTACGGGGCCCTCATCGTCTCTTTTGCTCCACGGCACCGCGCCCGACTCCACCCGTCGAGCTCCGGCCTCGTCTTCAGTCGGCTCCTGGGCACGGGGCGAGTCGAATCTGTACAGATACGTAGTACGTAGGTCGCATGAGCCCTTGGACACATGAAGTGTCAAATATGCCGTGCAATCCGTGATTGGCCCCGTCTTCGTTTCGACGTTGCATGCATCGTTGGTGGCTGACACGGAGCCGGTGCTACCTGGGCGGATGCATGTGCTTGCATGCCTTTAGAAGACCGTGAATGCCCTGACTGAAATTGCTTCATTGGCCACCGTGAAAGAAGGAAGAGGTCATGGAGTTTGTATGACACTTATGACACTCCACTCTCGACACGCGAGCGTCAGCCGCCACTTAGGGCTCTGCTTTCCTTTCATTCACGACGAGGATTTGACTTATACATAGACGGTATCGATGGACGCTTGGACATGTACAGTGGGTGTATCAACGTAAAGGGGCAATCTGCAGACTTGCATCCGAATCGTCGGACATCAAGACGTGGGTTGAAAATAGCCCAGATGCACAGAATGTAATTTACCCAATAAAGAAATGGTGCACCAGAAGCATTAACCTGGACGGCACGGTAAAAATAGAAACGAAACCCCCTCTCCTGTCTCTGATGCTTCCCTCATCCCTTGGTCGTATTCAGGCATGGCTCGCTGCCAGTAGGGATCATGCCCTGTGCAAAGCACATGCACGCTTTCCTTTGGCCCCGGCTGCTGTCCGGCACCGGCGGCCTGGGACGGAGCCGGCCGGGCCGACCACCACCCAACAAGCAGCCAGGGCCCCCCTACCTTGTTCATCCAACGCCTCCTCCTGTTCTTCCATGCGACTGTATGTACTGCGTGTTCGTATTACTTTCTCCTTCTCTCACCAGATCCGTGCAAAGAAAAACCGGAGGGGGAAGGGAGAAAATCAGGGTGTGAGAGCGGGGACCAATAGAGCCAGCCATGTTTCACTTTCCGGCGCCGTGAGCCCGCGCGCGTGAGAATGAGATATTTTGTTTATCCGGCCCTTTTTTGACTGTTCAAGTTTAAAGGATGCGCGCCCTCTCAGCATGAGTCCGAGCGTCACACGGGCACCTAGTGTTTCATCTCGCCTTCGAGCCGGGGTCTCCGCTCTCGACAAAAAAAGCAAACAAGAGAGGCATCGCCGTCAAGTGTCTCATCGGCCTACAAAGTACATTACGCGTGCACACCTGTTGATGCGCCGGCTTCACCCCCTTCTCCCTGATACGTCCTTCGTGCCAGGAACCGGCCTCGAGCTTTCACATGTCCATCCTAGGATATCTCTTGAGGTTCGCATCATGCTATCCGATGTCACGCCAAACTTTGCGTACTCGAACCATGCCCACGCATTTGTCCAAGCCTACTCTGCTCTGTACACATCTATGTACGAAGTTCACCTCCAGCACCTAACGTCCCCTCTTCCCCCTATACTTGGCGTTCAAGTATATGCCGTCCGTCCAGCCTTCTCTTCTTGGCGGCAGTGGTTCTCGGCATCTTCCCATCATAGCATCACCCCGCGGAGTGTGCCAAGGATCGCCTGAAAATCTTCCGTTGCCCATCCCATCTCATCCCTCGTCTTCAGCTCTCGATCCCCTAGCATATCGAGCCGGAGCGGAGGGAGCTGAGCTACTTCGTGCAGATAATCGGTGCTTATTCTGGCTGTGTGGTGTCCGCATCGCCGGCCGGCGGAAAAGCAAAATAACACTCGCCCGAGCTCAGCTTCTAAGGGACCCGTGTCTTACTTGTCTTCCGCCGAAGGTGGCCGGTAATCATGATTCCACGAATCAGAACGCCATGCTTCATCAGATTTGACTTTGCGCCGTCAGGGACCCGGTGCCCAGACGGCCCTGGCCAAACGATCGCATCTGCGGTGCTAGGGTTAACCTTGTCGTCCGAACACCTAGCCTCCAGCTTGGGCAATAGGTTTTCAGAGAAGAAGAAAAAAAGGAGGCAACCCCAGCACGGCTTAGTCGTCTCGTTTCTTGCCCTCCCCCCTGGCCTAGACAGTGGCCTCTTTGCCTGCTTCGAGCCGACAGTAGAGTTTCCGGGGACTTGAACTGACTCGGACGTCGGTCTCGGGCGGTATCACAGCGACAGTACAGCAGCGGGGTATGGGGCAGCGGCACTTGGCTATATGCCGCGTATCTGTTCAGGCACTCGCCTTGCCCCTAACTCAAAGGGTATCGAAAGAACCGCGGCGGTGAATCGATCGACGCAGCTTTGCTATGCGTGGTCTCGGATGATCGCGTACTTCATTCGTGGGATGGATCAATACCCGGAGACCCTGAGGTCAACCCGCCTCTCTCCTCTTTCCCTCCAGACCCCGATGGAGTTGCCATCCGTGCGCCTCATTCTTCTGTGCTGGCATAAGACGCACGGCCGGCTCGCATGATGGTTAGTCGGGCCCGTTGTTCTTGTCTTGACTCTGCCTCCTCACCGTGCTTGGCTCGTGTTTCGAATCGAGCTGCTCCCCTTCTGGCCCCCTTTTCGAAATGACCTCGGAGCTTGCCCGCTTCTTGCGCTTGGCCCTGAACGACTCCAGATGCAACAGACAGGCGCGTGCGATCACGGCAACTGGCCAGTACATACACGAGGCCGCCGATTTCACGCCCGAGTGCTAAGCCTCGTCGCCAGTGGAACTCGCACAGCACGTCGAGTTGAAAAGGCCGTTTCAGCACCCCAGCGTTACCGCATGGCGACTGTGCAGCCCAGCAGAGTCGGCTCGAAAAGAAAGGCCGGGTGACCGCCAGCGGAGATCCACTTGCCGTTATGACGGACGGGTAATACGTAGCTCTGTGGAGGCCTGAAGGTTGGTTCAAGTTTCTGGGAATCGTGCAAATTCTTGATTCAACTTTCCCTAGTTTATCATGAGATTGACAAGCATGAAGCTCAGTTGGTGGGTGGGTGGTGACGCAGCGGCTGAAGTCATCGGCTCTCCGCCCCGATGTCTCCAATCGTCAAAACGTCAGTCTCTGACGCTTTCGGCCGAGAGAGAGTGGCCCTGTCCAACAAGGAGATTTGGGCGTTGGGAATAGATGGAAAGTCGGTTGGCTTTCGCCGTTGGTCCGGTGCCGAATCTCCAAAGTGGGGCTTCGGCCCCGGACAGGCGGGCCGGCGAGCCAACTGCCCTGAGTACCCGACGGTACTTGTTCACAGGGCCCAGCCCCACTACGCGGAGTGTCGAGCGGACACCCCCTCCGTACAGAGGTACTTTGCGACTTCTCTTTAACGGGGGTATTCACCAAGTCGAGCTTCCAGCCGCGACACTTTCCCATCCGCGTCTCGCCTCCCCTTTTGCCATCTCAGCAGCCCGTCCAACACGAATTGCCATTGCCGCACCCCTCCGTCTCCCCCAGTCCCGTCCCCCCCAGTCCCGTCTCCTCCAGTCCGTCTCATCCCGCACGCCAGCCCGCCGACAATGGCGTTTCGTGCCTCCCTCGGGCGAGCCCTCTTGACCCGTCCCGCCGCTCGGAGCTTCCATTCCTCACCGCGAGCCTGCGTCAAGGTCGGCGACCAGGTGCCTAGCTTTGACGGCCTCTTCGAGAATTCACCCGGCAACAAGCTCAACCTGGCCGACGAGCTCCAAAAGGCCGACGGATACATTGTGGGCGTGCCGGGCGCCTTTACCGGAACCTGCTCGAGCCAGCACATACCGTCCTACATCAACCACCCCAAGCTGAAGAAGGCGGGCCAGATCTTTGTCGTTTCCGTCAACGACCCCTTTGTGTGAGCCAGAGCCATGCAGCTCGAGTGCAGAGGAGCCCTGGAATGGCTGACCAAGGGGGCGCACTCTAGCATGAAGGCATGGGCCGAACAGCTAGATCCCGCTGGCGAGACTGGCGTGAGTGTATCTGGCCTGCTGCCATCGATACCGCTAATGGCTGTCCATTAGATCCGGTTCATCGCCGACCCGACTGCGGGCTTTACCAAAGCCCTCGACCTTGGCTTTGACGGAACGGCCATCTTCGGCGGCGTGCGCAGCCAGCGCTATGCCTTGAAGATTGAGAATGGCAAGGTGTCAAAGACGCACATTGAGCCGGACGGGACAGGCGCTGATGGTAAGTCTCGGGGATTGAACTTGGTTTTCGAGCGAACTGACACACGATTGCTTCTCCAGTCTCCATGGCCGACAAGGTACTGGATTAGAGGGAGGCGCATTCAAGGCGATCCAGCGGGGCCACGGTCGTCTCGTGTCGGTTCCTTGTACAAAGAGGAGTGCGAGGTAATTATGGACATGGACATTCGCTCTCTGCCTGGATCTGGCGAGCTTGGGAGTGCGGGAACTGGTCGGCCGTAGTGGATGGAAGTGCGTGGCCATGTTTTTTTTCGTCGCGGTTCCCTGCCCCTGTTTCGGCCTCGTTGCTCCAGCGAGCTAAACAGGCACAAATTATAACGGTCATGGCCCGAAAAGGGTCGTTTGTCCTGTGCAGGCCCAGATTTGAATGCTCCTGTCACGTCGACGCTGGCTCTAGGGTAGGCCACGGAGCATGCGTCAGGCCGCGGTTGTCCCGGCGCTGCTTACCTCATACACACTCTCAGGGGAACCGCCTTGGCCGCCTTCGTCATGGGCCCGCTCCGACGGATGCGAGATTCCAACCATCCGTCGTCTCCTGACCAAGACAATAACAGAGCCGCCTTGTGCTTGTGACATCCCCTCTTCCAGGCTGCCAGCAGAGCCCAGTTGAAGCGTCGACCTCTGCATCTTCTCGCCCTTTGCCCTTCTCCCAGCAGCATCAACCTCGGCCCCCCCGCCTCGCTGGTTTCGCCGCCCCTCGTCTCCTCCCGCCCGGCCGTCAGCGCCCAACGGTCGACGAGCCGCTACCACAGTGCCTTTTGGTGCACTTCTGAGCCGCCACCATTCCCCCTCTGACAAGAAAGCGAAAGGCTGCTGAGGCGACGGTGAGCCCTGACCACAGGGACGATTTTCCCCAGAAAAGGCTCGTCGCCTCAGCTGGCTCAGCCGCGCCTCCCACCCCTGTCACCACCGGCATGGATTCAGAGGAAGAGTACATGTCCAACATGTCCACCGACGACGAAATCATGCAAGAGTACAGCGGTGATGAGGTGTCGGCGGGTGAAGGCAAGCCACCCTCTTTGCGTAACGACGCACCGGGCCGCCACTCTTCTTCCTCCACCAACACCTTCAGCTGACACCCCCCGCTGCCTAGACTTCGACGACGAAGACTTTGAAGAGCCAGATCCCGACTTTGGCCTCTCCTCCAAGGATCTCGAAAGGACGAGACGGCAGGCCCACGTCATACCCTTCAAAGTCTTCCAGCCTGCCGACATCCAGCGCCAGCAGGATGACATGATCAACGAGGTCAACATGATTCTCGACATGCGTAAGGAGGACGCCGCCATCCTCCTCCGCTACTTTCGATGGAACAAAGAGCGTCTGCTCGAGGACTACATGGATAGGCCCGACCAGGTGCTCGAAGCTGCCGGCCTGAGCAACAACTCGTCTGCCTTGCCAAAGCTCGAGGCCATCCCGGGCTTCATGTGCGACATTTGCTGCGAAGATGACCAGGGACTTCAGTCCTTTGCCATGAAGTGCGGCCACCGGTATTGCGTCGACTGCTATCGCCACTACCTGACGCAGAAGATCCGGGGCGAGGGAGAGGCAGCGAGGATCCAGTGTCCCTCGGACGGCTGCGGCCGCATCCTCGACACCCGGTCCCTGGATCTGCTCGTCACGGCCGACCTGACGGACCGCTACCGTGACCTACTCAACCGCACCTACGTCGAGGACAAGGACGTATTTAAGTGGTGCCCTGCTCCCGACTGCCCCAATGTGATCGAGTGCGGCGTCAAGAGGAAGGACCTGGAAAAAATCGTCCCCACGGTCGAGTGCCGCTGCGGCTACCGCTTCTGCTTTGGATGTCCAAACCCGGACCACCAGCCTGCCCCCTGCGATCTCGTCAAGAAGTGGCTCAAGAAGTGTGCCGACGACTCCGAGACGGCCAACTGGATATCTGCCAACACAAAGGAGTGTCCCAAGTGCAGCTCGACGATTGAGAAGAACGGCGGATGCAACCACATGACGTGCCGCAAATGCAAGTACGAGTTTTGTTGGATGTGCATGGGCCTCTGGTCGGAGCACGGGACAAGCTGGTACAACTGCAACCGGTACGAGGAGAAGAGCGGCTCCGAGGCTCGCGACGCCCAGGCCAAGTCTCGCACGTCGTTGGAGCGCTATCTGCACTACTACAACCGCTACGCGAACCACGAGCAATCGGCCAAGCTGGACAGGGACATTGCCCAGAAGACGGAGAAGAAGATGGTGCAGCTGCAGACCACGTCCGGCATGTCGTGGATTGAGGTGCAGTATCTCAACTCGGCATCCCAGGCCCTTCAGACCTGCCGCCAGACGCTCAAGTGGACATACGCCTTCGCCTTCTACCTGGCCAAGAACAACCTGACGGAGATTTTCGAGGACAACCAGAAGGACCTCGAGATGGCTGTGGAGAACCTGTCAGAGATGTTTGAAAAATCCATCCAAGAGTTGGCGGAACCCAAGCTCAAGGTAGACATTATGGACAAGACATCGTACTGCAACAAGCGTAGAGTCATCTTGCTTGAGGACACGGCCGACAACCTCGTCAAAGGTACGCGAATGCGCTGTTCGAGACTGATGACTTGTCGGTGGCTAACGATCGTCGTGCAGCCAAATGGACCTTCAACGCGGATCTGACCCATCCCAGCCTCGCCGCCGCCGCCCCCCGCCGTTGACACGGTCGAGACGGCCATAGCGGGGCGACACCGTCATGACGACTCTTCTTGGGGTCTGTTTCTTTCCCGCACGACGTGAAACGATTCGCACACGAAGCGACCGGGCACAAGATGCGATGCCGTCCTTCTCTGGCGTTTGGGGTGGAGGTTGGTTCTGCTTTAGCGGCTTGCGAATGTTTGATGTTTTACTCCCTTGTCTCTTTTGGCATCTTTTCTCCCTCATTCCCCGTTCAGGGCTCTTCACTAGCTCGCTCGCGGCACATAGACGCATCACAGTGCCTCGCTTGCTCCTCTCTGCCCACGGCGTCTGGGCTGTGGTATGCCAGCCATTGTTGTTATTCGCCTTTGCCGTGGACGGGGCGGCGGGTACGTCGGCGTCGCGGGCATCCATGGCCGCTGGGACGACGCGATCGAAACCACAGCTAGTGTAGATAGACTCAATGCACACATAGAAAACAAGGCGGATGGGCCGTTTTGTACACATGAATCTTGAGCATTCCACAGGATCTGTTGCGAAAAAAAAAGAGGTTTTCCATGACGCCTGGCAGACCAAACAATTCTCACGTTCCTCCCCGGCTTCATGCTGCCTTTCCATCTGCTCGCGCCGGCGCTCCCTCTCTAGAGTGACCACGCCAACCTGACATGAAAAGACAGTCTCGCACACAGCAGCCAGACGAGGCTGGGAAGAGGAGAAGGGAAAAGAGACTAATGCTTTCTGCCTGTGCGGGCTAACATATACAAGCATATTAAATCAACACCGATGAATGCAGGATCGTGACACGTTGCGACTGCTACTTGGTGGTGGGACAAAGGAGCCAGAATCGCCGGTCCCGTGCGTCAAGTCTCAGACAAAGGCGAATCTCGACAGATTGAGCTTCGTGGGCGGGAAGTCCGCCTCCTCGTCGTCGTCTTCGTAGTCGTCGCCCAGCGGAACAATCTGGTCCTCGCTGCCCTGCGGGTTGTTGAGCGCCTCCACCTCGTCCAGGTCCACCCTTGGCAGCGGCACAAACGAGGGGTTCACCGGCAGTCCCTTGCCAAAGCCGCGTCCGATGCTGGGTCTTGGCTTGGGCAGCTTCGGGGACATGGCCATGGCGGCTGCCCTGACGCCAAGGCGTTGGAGTGGAGTGAGCCTCGTGTGAGCAGTCGAGGGGGCTGTCGAGGGCGTAGAGGCTACGCTGAAGAGCGAGGAGCGATGCGAGACGGATGAGGCAGGCGTCACAGCAGATGATTGTGTCGAAAAGAGGTAACGGCTCAAGCTTGGCCGAGAGGGCGTCTCCGACAGCTGATAGAAAGGTTTGCAAGACTTTGGAGGTGGCAGGGAAGACTCGACCAAAGATGTAGCAAGTATGTCGTTCTTGGGCTGCGTCTGCCGGGTTTCCAGTGATGCCACACTTGTCCGTGACGCTTGGTTCTTGACAGGGCTTGCGTCGCTGAATATGGTGATCGACTTTCCACGTTTATTTGTGGGCTTCCAGTCGTCAAGGTCGGGCAGATCGCGTACGGCCTCCTCGATTGAATCGTCCGACAGTAGGTACGCATCGCTTTTGGCTCGCCTCGGGCTATTGCGCTTCGGTGGCGGGAAGAATTTGCTACTCTTGGGGGCGCTATCTCCATTTACCTCGCCACAAAGGCGGGCTTTCTTCTGAGGCCTAATCGGTGGCTCAGTCTGGGGTACGGCGGCGCGAGAGTTAATGCCATTGTAGACTGATCGTGTGGGTGCCGGGCTGCTTGCGACTTGGGAGTGCGTGTTCGAGGCAGGCTCCGTATCCCGCCGTTGAAGACGAGGTGAGGTTCGAGTCGGGTCTGAGCTCGTCCGCCTGGGAGGAACAGGCCGATGTCCCAGCTCAGTCTCGTCCAGATAAGGCCGGGGCAAGGGGAAAACCCGCGGCACCAGTCCCCGTTCAGTAATCTGCGCAACCTTTTGGGGATCGACCGAGAAGCAGTTGGCATCCATTTCGCCCATGGGAATCCGATTGCAACCCTTGAAGTAGGAGCCGATGGGCTTGGGAGGTGGTTGCAGTGTGCTGGGAGCCGCGGTCTGAGAGTGCCTCCTCTTAGAAGGTGTCGTCTGGACGATGACCGGTTCCTTGGAGATGGGGTCGACGTGCCCTCTCGAAATGGCCCTGGCAAGGTCCGGCTCCACGTGGGCGCCTATAAAGGGCATCTCTTCTGCGGTTCTTGACCCATCTAGCTCCGTGAGATGAACCAGCTCCTTCTTCGTGGGGCAGAAGACCCATTGATGCAGAAACGTCAGCTCTGCCTGGTAGAACAAAGTCAGGTAGTTCTCCGAGATGCGCTTGCCCTCGAACTGCAACATGCGAACGACGCGCTCGGGGGTCTTGCATTTTCGAAGCATGCGGTAGGCCGTCTTCAAGCCAACACCGGGCAGGCCGCCTAGGTAGTCGCACCCGCTCATGATGGCCATCCGCCTGAAGTCAGCATCCGTCCACCCCGTCAGTGAAACTTCGCGGCAGGCGCCGAAGTCGCGTCGGTTGATCTCGATGCAGTTGCCGTACTGATCGAGCTTGGTGAAGAGTCGCTTGGCGCCAAAGACGAGCAGGTCCGAGTCGTCTGACAGTATCCCGCTGACGAAGCCTTGGCGTTCTAGATAGACGAGCTGGGCATCTGCCTCGTAGGGGGCAACGACGTATGGAACGTCCATCTCGTCCAGGTGGTGGATGAGGTTGCAGGCCATCTGAGGGGTGACGTCGATGCATTTCTGGAACTCCTGGATGGCTTGGGAAGGCTTACCAGCCTTGATGAGCTCGTTGGCCAGCTTCCTCTTTTCGTCGCGTTTCTTGGCTCGAGACTCCTCGGTGGCGGCCTTGCTGGGGAGGAAGTCACCGTCGAAGACGATGTAGGGCATGATGCCGAAGTGGCGGAGCATTTTCACGCGGTGCAAAAAGGCAGTGATATATCTGGACACGACGTGGTTAGACTCAGTCAATGGCATGGAGGCGGCCTGGGGCGTGGCCTACTTGCGGGTGGGCTTGCCCTGGCCCAGCTCGCCTGCGCAGGAAAAGGCAGCCCTGTGTAGCCATCCGTAGGCGTCGACCCCAAGAGTTTCGCCATGGAGCAATTTCAACTCGGTGGGGCGTTGGATCGACTTGAGAAGAGGCAGCAAACCTGGGAAACTGGTCAGCATTGCACAGACACGGGCTTGGCCTCGCATACCAGAGACACCCATCTCCAAGGCGCGCTGAAAGCAGCGCTCGATTCGAGACGGATGTTGCCGACGACGGAATTAAACTCGCCCAGGCAGCCCAGAGTGACGGCATGCACCGGGGCCCAGGACTGCCATCCGTAGGCGGGCAGAGGTGTCGTAGACGCGGCTGTTGACGCGGTGCCAGCCAGTCCTTTGCTTTTGCAGCCACGTCGGGACAGACGCGGCGACAGGCAGGCAAAGGCAGGTGCACAGAGCACGTCAGACAGCACCGTAAAGATAGGCGGAGGCGGCGTGCAAGTAAGCGCGGAATGGAGGCGGCATTGGATCTGGACGGGTCGAGAGGAGCAGCGGTGGGAGCAGAGGTAAGTAAGGTAAGTAGGCAGGTAGGCAAAAAGAAGAGACGCCTGGTTGACCCTGTTGTGGTGGTCGCGTCGAACAAGTACAGGTACCGTCTGGCAGAGCTGGACAGGCGGCGGGACCCGTAAGAGTTGTTGCCCTATGCCTGGAAAGACTGCGGGGGAGGGGGGCCCCGTACCGCACCGCGACTTGGGCCAAGTACCGGTACGAGCGGCGCTACGTGCAGGCAACAAGCTCTTGCAGAATCAGATGGCGCTCTACGAGATACATACAGTACATGAGCAGGTTCTGCCTAGGTACCTAAGGTAGAGCAAACAGACAGAAACGCGCCCGTAAGCGCCGCACGCCTAGGCAGTTGCCCATTATCTAATCCAGTCGTCTGTCCCATCCCACCTATCCTAGGTATCCATCTACACGCAGACGTTTGAGCGCGTCGCTGGAGCCCCACGAGCCGCGACGGGGAAGAGAGAGGATCAAGGAGGCCCAATTTAACAGCCGGCTCCAATTGGCCTAGCGGCGGGCGCACTGGCATTCCCCCAGCAACCAAGCCCACGTCATTTCCTGTCTTTGGGTCCCGCTGGGGTGTGACGGCTGAGACGCGCGACGGAAGACGGCAGCGAGGAGGGCGAAGCGCAGGGCTCTAATTACGGAGTACGGTGAAAGTGTAATCAGGAGCTGCGTCGACGGCAGCCTGTCCTCGCAGACCATGTTTACCCGCGTTTCGACGTGTAGATCCAAACACTTTGAGCGGCAGGTCTCGACTCCACACCCAGGGCCGGAGCGGCCCTTTGTTAATCCGCTACACGTCCTCGGCATACCTACAGTACGTATATCAACCCAAACTCAGCATTCCGCACCACACTCAAGGGACTGGTGAATCAAAAGTCACCGCTTCTACTTCACCTAGGGACCCATTGGGCAGGTTTCTGAGGAGACACAGTTCGACACAGACTGAAACCAGAGTCAAAGTTCGTCATTCTTCAACAGCCGGCCGGACGAACCAGCCAAGCCACGATCTCGGAACGAAAAACCAAGAAAAACTCGGCACATCTGACCCCAAGCGTCGAGATGCCAAGCTCTCTGCACAAGACGCGCAAGCACATTGCCAAGAAGCGTAACGGCGAGGTCAATGCCTTGCACGAAAAGTCTCGCGACTCGCAGCGACTGCACAAGGCAGGCGTGCGAGACCAGCGCCTCGAGAAGCTCGCTGCGGCTAGGAGCAAGCAGGAGCGGCCAATCGGTAAGTTGGACAGGCTCCCACGCAGCTACAGGGCGGATGCTCACGAGCCCTCTCTCTTCTCAGTTGATCGTGTTGTCTTTGTGCAAGAAAACTTGACCGAGACGGGCAACTCGCCGCTTGACCTCGCCGCCGTCCAGTCGCTCATCCATGCGTGAGTCTCGCCCGCCCGCCCCTGTCTCGTGCCCGCTAACATGTAATGGGAAGCTTCATCCACCAGCACGATGAAGAATACGCTACCCTAAAAAAGGCGCGGCGTTCTGGCCGCCCTCCAAGCACAAGAGAGGATCTGCTCAAAATGAAGATAGCGGCCCTCGACATCGAGTACCAAAAGGGCTTCGGTAAGTCAACTGTTGCCCCGCAGTTGTGCCCAACGTCGAGCTGATTCCTTTCGCTCTAGCCCTCCCAGACGTCATGACGGAAGAAAATGTCAAATTGCTCGAGGATTGGGAAGGCTCGTGGTCCAAACTCACCACCTTGACCTGGATCAAGGTATCACGCACCGGGCAGGTTCGCAAATCCGACTTTCCGTCAAAGGGGATCAACTAGGGAGACCTTAGGGCCAACACAACCGTCGGCCGCCGATGCCGTAATTCAAGCTCAGTCCATCCACGCCATGGGGCTTGCAAGCAACGCATCGCCTCCATGTCCTGGGAAGCAGCCGGTCGAGACACCGGTCCTACGGCCCCGATTCCTTGGCCTCTTGCGAGATGCTCACGCATGTCCCTGCATTCACGCGCGCCGCTCAGGCTCAACCCAGCTGAAGCCATGGACCTGGTAGCTGGGGCCCGAGATATAATCGTTCCTCTTCCTAAACCTCTTCGAATACGAACGTCTGGATGATCCATCCCGGGCCCAGCTGGGGAGGGCACCAGTGGGAAGAGCCATCGGCGTGTAACGTCTACTGTGTGCCCCAAGAAGCTCACCCTTCATCTCATATACTTTTCGTCTACTGGAGGCCGAGTGCGGCGAGAGCTCAGCTGATGACCAAGGCTGCAGTCTATAGCCAGGCGGCGAATGTGCTGGGGACAGACTCAGTGGGGCTGGTCCTCGGCCATGGAAACCCATCATGGGCTGAGGTGGTCGCGCAACAGCGCCATTTACCATGATGTCACGATTTCATGAATTACATTTGAGAAGCGTGGAAACCTTTGCACCTTATTTCGCCACTTATGCTTCTTATACTTCTTCTAACAGACGGCCATTGAGTAAACCGTCTCGTCCTCATTCCACCTTTGCGCGTCCGCCGCCGGTACTCGTGGTCGGCCGGGATGCCAAGCTATGGCTGGGCCTTGTCGTGGACTGCGTGAAGACAACGAACGCGTGCGGAGAGGAAGCAACGAGGCAGGCATGGTTGCATCTCTCTCAGTCCCCGACCTGGACCCGACTTCCAAAAGCGTCAAAGTAGTATAAAGGTGCTCGCTAAGCTCCTGCCGTTTGCCCGTCCTGACATATCGTCAGAGGAACCTCTGTCAGCATCTCGCCTCTGTCCTCCTGCACCGCGTCGACTCCGTATCGAGCAGAAACAGCATAGCTCTTCATCATCTCCATCGCCGTCGTCTTCCTCCCCTCATCTCCATCGACCATGCTTCATCACTTATCCCTCCCCTCACGCCCGCTCCCCCCAGCCGCGCCCTCGGACAATACTTCCTCGCGCCGCCAGAGCCTCTCCAGCTCCCAGCTCGCCCCGCCGTGCCGCCGTCCATCGACCAGCTTCTCGCACGCCTTGCCATCTTCTGCAGAGCGCGGCGTTGCCCCTGCTTCTGAGTAGGGCTCGGACAAGGAGAACTGCGGCTCGCGCGGCTTCGGGTCGACGGGGCTGCTGTTTGGCGGGGCGGAGAGGGATGCGTTCGGTCCCGCCGCCGAGGGTACATGGGGCGTCAAGGCATCTCCCTTTCTCCAGAATGGCGCTTTGCTCCCTACAAGTCCCCAACATGACCGTCTCGACCGGTGCCGCGCTCCGGCAGAGCGCAACGACAGCCCAGAATCGGCTCGGGGTTTCCCGGACGCGCCTTCCGACCAGCTTTCTCCCGATTCGGACAGGTTCCTCGCCATGATTGATGAGAACCTCCAGCTCGGCCGCGAGAGGCAGGAATCTCCCTTGGCAGACCGGCCTGCTCGCGCCCGAAGCGCATCCTCGGAATACCCCTGCAGCAGCCCTGGCTCTCCGCAGGTCGTCTCGCCCGCATCCACCATGCGTGTCAACAGACTGAGCTTGTCGGATCTGTCCCGCTTCGGCCGCGGCAATGATCGTCTCTCGTATCTCAGGTCCAGCTCAACGGTGTCGTCTACACAACAGGCCGAGGGCGACACGAGCCACCAAGAGGCTATGGATGAGGCGACAGCCGCCATCTCAGGATGGCAGGACGAGCCTCGTCCGCTCCAGAGGCCCGCCTACAACCAGTACGAGCTTGCGGATAGCTCTGAAGTACTGCCCAGTGATTCCCTCTCTCAGCGCCTAAGCCCTACGCCTTTGGAATTTGAGCCTCTAGCCCCCGCCATCGACAGTCGTACCAGTCCAAGTGACGTTTCGGAGAGCACGTTAAACAGCCTTCAGCGCCTCAAGAACCAGTATGACGGGCCAGCCGACTCGCAACGTTTGAAAGGCTCAGAGCCCACCTCCTTACCGCCTCTCCGACCAAACAAGCGCAGTGCATCGCAGTTCTCGCTTCGCAGCCTGACCAGGTCTTTCTCCAAGCGTCCACGGCTCCAAGGACTCCGCAAGTTGGCCACCCATGTCTACCGCGGCGGCAGTCGCCATCTCAGCCTGGCACGTCACAGGTGGAGGCTGCAGAAGGAACAGGAACGCAGGCAGTTTGAGGCGTGGAAGGCCAAACGTCGCAGGGAACGGCCTGCTGACCCGCTGAAGGGCAAGTCAGAACGGGGCTTCGGCACCTTTTCCTTTGAGCGCGGTCGATTCGGCAACGAGGAATGGTGGAAAGAGGGGGTGGCCAAGTATCAGGCACCCGGCTGGATGCTGTTTCAGAAGTGAGAGAAGCTCCAAGATGGCCAAACAGTTATGACCGGATCACTTGCTGCGCCGCAAATTGGGGACGAAGGTTTTTTGACGAAGACGGGCGACGGTGAGCTCGCCCGCGGGGAGCCCGGGTTGCAAGTAGCAAGATGAGAAACCTGCCGTAGGCTTGGCACGATCAATGAAGCCAGACGTGCCCCGGGGGGGGGGGATTAGTATGCACAAGGTATCGCTTCATAGCATATATCTGAAACGGTCTGCCGACGTCCTCTTCAGTTTTCCCGAGCCTACCAGGCCTTGTTCTTCGACCATGTTGCCGTTGGCCAACTTTTCGTCCTCGGCTCTGTCCATGCGATGGTTTCGGTGCTTGAGGAGAAGTCGCAGGATGAGAGCCAAAGCGGCAACGGCTAACATGGCGCAGGCGCAGGCGCCCATGCCTCGCGTGTAGTAGGGCCCATCACGGTCGGGATAGAGGCGAGTGCCGATGAGGGGCCCGCACTGGCCGACAAACTGGAGCAGGGCGAAGCCGGCGCCCTGGCGGGTCTGGTTGGCTTGGTTGTTGATGGACCAGGCGATGACGAGGGTGACGACGTTGTAGAAGCCAACGGCGGCAGGGTAGAGGGCCAGGTAGCGCAGCAGGGGGGGGAGGGCGAGGGATTCGGCGAGTGCGAGGAGGGTGTATCCGAGGGCGGAGGCGAGGGCGTGGAAGACGAGGGGGCCGGTGCGGGCGCGGAGGCGGTCCGACATGTGGGCGGTGAAGAGGACGAGGCCAAAGGCGACGAGGTAGGGCGGGGCGCTGAGGGCCTGGGAGGCGACGGTGCTGTGGCCCATTTCGGCAATGATCTTGGGCAGGAAGACGGGCAGGGACGAGTAGGCCATGTTTGCGAGGAAGAGGATGGCGGCGGTGAGCCAGGCGACGGGGTCGCGAAGGACAGCGACGAGGTCGCGGCCGCGGACCCCGGGCGTGGGGGGCCTCGACGACGACTTTTCGCCGCGCAGCCGCAGCCGAGCCACGTCGCGCTCGCGATCCGTCAGGTAGCGCGCCGTCTGGGGGGAGTCGGGGATGGCGGACCAGGCGACGACGGAGATGACGACCGAGGGGAAGCCCTCGATGAGGAAGAGAAGGCGCCAGGGGGCGATGGGGCCGAGGGAGGCAAACTTGACGATGAGCCAGGCGAGGGTCGAGGCGAAGCTCGTCGCCAGGGGTGCGGCTGTCGAGGTGTGAGCCAATGGTCAGCCAGCCACGATGCTTTACCCTGACACGATAGATTGACTAACCCGAGATGAAGATGGCGGTCCGAAACGCCAGCTCCTCGCGCCTGAAGAAGAAGCTGAGGTAGAAGGGGATACCAGTGAAGCCAGCCTCGCCGATGCCGAGCACGACCCTCAAGGCGATGAGGACCGGGTACGAGGTGGCGACGGACTGCAGCGACGCGGCGAGGCCCCACGTCAGGACAATGGCGGAGACGAGGACGTGGGCGGGCACAATCTTCCACAGCAGCGACATCCACTCAAAGGCAAGGTACGAGAGGTAAAAGGCCGTCAGGGACCACTCGTACCAGTCGTCGCGCGGCGGGCTGGTCTGCAGGTCGCGGTTCATGCCTGCGATGCGGGCGTTGCCAATGTCTGCAGGTGGTGCGCGCGTGTTAGTGAGGATTGAGCAGACCCTTGGTGAGGCTGAGTCGACGACGTACTGGAGCGGTCGAGGAAGCTGAGCATATACAGGAGCGCCACGAAGAGCACCAGCTTCCGATCAAACTTTGTCCGGACGGCGAGCTCCTCCTCGGGCGTGTAGAGCTGGGAAGCGCCCGCCGCGGCGCCCGGCTGCCTTGGGCGCCGGCCCGTCCTGACGTCGACGCCGTCATGGCCACGCGCGCGGCCCCGTTCCCGCGGCACATCTCGCTTGTTCACGACCAGCTCATACGTGTCGGCACCGCCGTCGAATTCCGACTGCAGGTCGTCAAAGTAGCCGTCGTCGTCGTCGTCGTCGATGTCGCTTGCGTCGTCGCTGTCGTCGAGGAAGAAGTCGGCGCCCGTCTGGGCAAACGAAGGCGACACGTCGCCCGGCCCGGGCCTCAATTGGCTCGGGGCGAGGCCGGTGTCCAACGGCATCAGGGCGGTGCCAGAAGGAAAAAGGAAACGGATATGGAATAAGAGCGTATGGCCGAGGCGCGCGGTGGCGTCGAGGACGAGGGTTGCAGGCGATCAATGGGACCGTCGCCGTGCAGATAGAGAGGAGGCAGCAAGGGCCCGTGAGGCTTGCTTCTGCAGCCAGATGATGTTGTGTCTGCCTGCAAGGATGCTGTGTCTGCCTGGAAGGGATGGATGGCGGTAAATGAGGGATGGCGCTGCTCACACGTGACGGGGCAGTGTCTTATACACGCGGGCTACACATCAGAAAGTGCGCGCGTTTATGAAGCCCTCCGGCTGATGAGCGAGCGTGAGCGAACCCAGGTATATATCCGAAATGTTCGTATTTTCTTCCCTCCCCGGTGCGTATCCATGACCTTTTGACAAATGGCTGGCGCCCTCCAATGTCCCGCTGAGACGAACCGGGCTGGAGATAAGGGTAAAAAGTGCTTGGTATGTAGTGTTACAGGCGTCGCGGCGCGGGGCATACATTGGAGCAGGCCAATATTAGCCAAATCGACGACATCGGTGATCCATCACTTCCCGATATTCCATTGGGCCAAGAGGCCCCCCAAAAGAACGAATGGGATTTGTTATCGCCATCGCCACGGGAAAGCAAACCGCCTCCAATCTCTCGTCATCACCGAGCTCCTCTCTTTGAAAAAATCCGTCGCAGTCCCTTGGCCGACAGCTTACGCCTCAGCCCGGGCTGACGGCTCGTCGCTTTGCATTGGTCGTCGGCGATGAATTCGGGTGGCGGGCTGTGGCGCTCGGGCAATGCCACATGGCCGACCTTGTCACCGCTCCGAGTCGGAGTTGGCCGGTCCGTGTGCGTCGTCGTCTCGACGAGCCTCGGCGGCGCCGCTTGTTGCTTTTGTCTGAGGCGAAAGGGATAGTCTTTGATCGGTGGGGGCAGTGGCGGCAGTTTCTCTTCCTGGTCCTCCTCTTCCTGTTCCTCTTCCTCACGCTTCTCTTCCGCCACTTCTTCCTGGACCGTGCCGTCATCGTCGTCGTAGTCGTCCAGCTCTTCCTCGGGCACGGCTCTCTCGTCGTCGGCGCACACGACGACGTACCACTGTATTTCCTCATTGGCCTGCAGCTTGTCTCTGAGCTTCTCAAACCAGCCATCGCTGCCTTCCTCAGCCATGCTCTGGTACTTTGCCATTTCCTTGGCCACGTTGGCGCCCAGGTCCACACGAACGACATGGTCGGCGACGTAGGCATACGGCCGCGATGCGCTCGTCATCTCGTCCAAGTCGTACTCCTCCAGCAGCTTGACCGGCGACCAGTCGTGCATCAACACCTCATCGTCTGTAGCGGGCACTCGCGACGGCGGCGGCGACAAGTCATCGTCCTGGTGCGGCGTTTTCGTTTTCTCCTCCTCGGTCGGGGTGGCTGCCGCAAGAGGGCGGCTCGGGAGAAAGTCAAAGGCGATGCGGAATTGGTCAAGGATCAGCGAGGCGCTCGTGCGCCCAACGATCCAGTCCGGCGCGGCGTCCTCGAGGTTGTTGATAATGACGAAGATGCGGATGCCGCGGCGATGCCACCGGAAGCCGTGGCACAGGTACGTCGGCATGGTGACGTTGTCTTGCCCAGTCAGCGCAAGATTCCCGATGCATAGGCGCTCACGTCGTGGACATTGTGAGTAGTTCTCTCGGGACTTTGCGAGGTGACGACTGCTTCTCCTCTCCCCTGCGAACCAAGGCTTGGAGCCGAGGGGAACGAATGGGAGGGGAGCCCCACCTGGTGCCCGCCCGCTGGAGCTGGTCTAGAGTGAGACCCGCATCCCGCACTTGGCTGGGGTCTCCGCCCGCGTTTCCTCCGCGCTCGGACTAGGCTGCCGCCAAAGTCCCGACTCTGTCGGCCTCTCTGACAGGTATGGGTTGGCTGATTCAGTGTGTTTTGGACTTGGCAGACCCCGTACGGTCCAGCCAAGAGGTGCAGAGGTACAGAAAAAAGTAGAGTGAGTACAGGCTCAACCTGCGTCGAGCATGTTCTTGGTCGATACTCTGCCGGGTCTTGGCCATCAAATGGTCATGATGGGGTAGACGTATTCAAGAGTAGCTGGCCGTTTTCGATGCGAGCGCCGCTGCAGGAGTAGCCGTAGCACGTCTCGGTTGGCAGCTGAGCAAAGTTGCTCACAAAAGAACCTCATCCGCCCAGTATACCGAACTCGTGGCGCCGCTTTGCGGGCTTCCTGCTTCTGCGGTGCGCGGGCTGTGTTGCTGCAGTCTTGTTTCCAGGCCCTTTCCTCAGAGCATGACCAACAAGCCTACTCAAACCAGATCCGATAACAGGCGCTACGTTGGCTCTTGACGATGCCATTTTTCGTCTCCCAGTGGGTCATTTGGCAGCGTCTTGTGTTTTCTTGTCTTGTCGAGCCCGCGTCTCTCTGGCCCTCGGCAGTCGGGTTGGCACTCTTCGTCGGCGGAGGGTTCGCTCTTTGACGACAGCGGTTGTGTCGGCGGAACTGTATTCTGTCGGCGCCATGAGGGTCTGACCCCGTCCCTCACATCGGGCCTTCCTGGTGGGCCGCACAGCGCCAGCAAGAAGCAAAGCAGCCCCGCTGTGATTCTTGGGCTTGAGGGCCGCCTGGGGGATGCATTGCGGTCCGGGGTAGAGGCCCGTGATGCTTCGTATGTGGTGCAGCCGACGCGTTTTGAATGCGCTTCCGCTTCCTCTCTGGCGTCGCCACGGTACTGCGTGATGGCGACGGGAATGAAGCGTCGTGCGCATTAGGGCAATCCAGCTCCTGGCCAGCTTGCACACCTTGAAAGTCATCAGCCGAAGAGGGACGGAGCCGTCGTGTATACGGCACATACGCTCTAGAGGCCGTGTTTGCGTCTTTCGCCTCTTGCCCATTGTCGATTTGAATTGGCTTGGGAGGTCCAATTATGGCACGCCAAAGGGGCGGGCAGCAGGTCTTGAGGCTGGCGGTTCCAAATCGCCGGACCATCGAGGTCGGGCCACGCATCGCCTCGGTAGACAACCCGGTCGCCATCTATGCAAATGTCGGCTTCTCTGATGTGCCGCTGGCCTTGGGCCCATGCGCGTCAATGACTTCAATTCTGTATAGATGCATTCTTGGGCATCTTTCACGTGGGCCGCTGGTGACAAGTAGGTGGCGGCAATGGCGAGTAGTAGGAGGACCGATCGAGCACTCAAAGGCTTGCTTCCGTCAGCTCCATGGTTGCAGCGGTGTCGGCAGAGGGCGGTTTCCTGTGGGTGGCAAAGTTTGGAGTTGAGAAGAAGTCAACTAAATCGGGCCCTAGTCTTAGGCGCACCTGAGCCATGAGGCTGCTTATGTAAGTAACGCACATCCGAGATGAGATGCCATCTCATTGTTCCAGTCCCTGCATCCTCCACAATCAATAACGAGTGACAACCTATACATCTGACCCCGACGGTCGAAAGGAGACGGGGGATCCGACGAACTCGACAAGAAGCCTGAAGCGAACGCCAGCTAGGCATTGAGGGGCCTCATCATGGAGACGCCGGCTGAGGCCGTGATCATGGTGGGGCGAAGCGCGTCGCCTGCGTCGACACCCGCGAAAAGATCGACACGCGTCGTGAGGCCAAGCACCAAAATTCGAGAAGCCGCGCGACAGCCCGACGATCTGGCGGAGAAGACAACACGCGCAACTAGGCTTGCAACGCGCATTGCCTCGGACGATGTCGCCATCAGTGACGCGACTGAGCGGCGCAAAGTTGCCAGCAGCAGCAGTGGCGCGAACGAAGGCCGAGCCATGCTCCAGAAAGTTCTCGAACTCTTGAGCGAGTCACGTCAAGAAACGCAAAAGCTCAGCCGAGCGATAGATGCGCAAAACGAGATCATATCCAAGCAACAGCAGATGATCCAGGAAATAGATCAACAAGGGAAAGAGATGAGAGATGAGCTTCGTCACATCCGAGCGCAGTTAGAGGCCCTGGCTACGCCCGCATCTTCTCTGCAGAGCAGTCCGCAGATGTCGTATGCGAGCGCTGCAGGGTCATCGCCGACGATCCAGACAATGAACCGGGGCACCGTACCAGCAGCTAAATCGGCACGAACAGCCGTCAGCGATAGTCTCTACTGTACGGTGGACACATCACGAGTCGAAGAAGCGAACAGGTGCCAGACGCAGATCGGCAACATCCGAAAGGCCATAGAGAGCGACATGAGAAAGAGTCAGAGGCAGGAGACTTGGAAATGCGCAGCGGTCGTGACAGACGCTCGAAACCCCGACCGGATCAAAATTTTATGCAGAGACCAAACCGAGTTGAAGCAGGTCAAGGAAGCAGCGCAGAAGACGGTAACTTCGGGAGCCAGGGTACTGAGAGATCAGCTTTACCCTGTCAAAGTTGACAACACCAAGCGTACCGCAGTGCTGGACGCCGAAGGCAACGTTCTGCCGGGCGCAGCTGAGGCGCTCGGAGCCGAGAATTACGTCACGATTGCCAAGATCACCTGGCTTAGCAACAGAGAGAAAGCCAAAGCGTACGGGTCAATGGTGATCTATGTCACTAAAGAGAGTGACGCGCAAAGACTTCTGGACGGCGTGTGGTTCGATGTTGCGGGAGAGTCCGCCTGCACCAATGTTTTTGAACGCCGCGTAGGACCGATTCAGTGCTTCAACTGTCAAGAGATGGGACACAAGGCGTTTTCATGCAAGAAGCCGCAAAGATGTGGCAGATGCGCGAAAGCAGAACATCACCACAGAGAATGCAAGGAGACAGTGCCAAAGTGCGTGCCCTGCGGTGGACCACACGAATCGTACAGCCGGAACTGTCGGGCGCGGAACCATGGGGATGAGACGCAGGCAGCGTCTGGCCCTTCGGGATAAGCAGCGGAAGTGAGAATCCACTTAGGATCGATTATGGCACTAACCTTCAACAATACTAACACACAGGTATTCGACTTCGGATTTCGACAGACCGCGCTTCAGCTGCTGAAGGTAGGACGCTGAACACTTGGAGAAATTGGCCTTCAAGCAGGCCTGTCACGGAGCGAGTAGCGGCGAGGTTGGTGTAGCGTATGCTAACCCGTGGGGCTTAAGGTGTTACGCATTAATGTATTGAAATGTCAGTAGCTTTTACGTCTAAGGCCCTATAGGAGAAATCCTCCGGGTGAAATACACATACATACATACAATCAATAACAATCGATCGGTTTGAAGCTTGGCGACCTCTTTTTATAAGTCGTCAGCGTCTTCTGCCGGCAGCGTTTGAAGCGAGTGCAGCCGGTCTGACTCAATACGTCGGCACCTTCATCCAACCTTTGTCTACAGCAAAGACAGGTCCCCTTCTTCCAACTTTCTTATGTTCAACCGGGCCGCAGCATCGTCAGGACTTTTTGGCCAACCAAGGCACGTATGTGAGTGCCGAGGATGCCAGGCGGTTTTGCGACTTTTTCGGTCTGAGCTGCGAACCAATCGACAAGATAGAAGAGTGTCTAGATATAGAGGACCTTGGAGTTGGGAAGACGGTGCTGGCGGCATGCATCTGAGCAGACGCCGAGAAGCTGGACAGCATACATATAGCATACGCCAGGTAATGCAACTGCTCGAGCTACATGTTTCCTTGACAGTTTTGGAGTATCGGCAGTGAAGATTGCGATACAATGTATAGAATTGACATTTCCACCAATCAGGAGGATGGTCATGGCAGACAGAAGAGTCCCCAGAGAAAACGGCTCTTCAGAAAAGACCATACAGGAGAGCGTCGCCGCGAGAAGCCATGGTACACGGCACAGCCCGTCGACAGCATCAAGACCAAGCAGCGATATCGCAGAGCAATGAGATCCCCTCTCGGATACGACAAGCACAGCTCTGAGTGGTGCTTGGATTACAAGCACGTGTGCAAGCAACTTCAACGGAGTCGAGAAAAATGGGCAGAAGAAGACATGATGGCATATTTGGCTTGGAGTAAAGCAGAAGACGAGCGCGTTGATTGTACGACAAGTGACACAGGCAGGATGGATGACCGACAACGTTACGCTATTAGTTTATCTTTTATTGGCCCCGTATCAACTTCTCTGTCGTCGCTAAAGTATAGGAGCTATTATAGGGGCTATTAGCGGTCTAGGGTCCTTATAACTACCTTCTTAAGCCCTTTTATAAGGGTCTTATAAAAGGGTTTAATTTTTTAGGCTTCCTTAAGGGCCTAGAAGGCCTACTAAAGGAAGCCCTAAGCCCGGTCCCTAGGGAAAGGGTACTAAGGCTAGGGCTAGGTCTATTATAAGTATTAAAATATAGGTTAAATAAGCGTAAGGCTAATAAGGCTACTAAGGGCAGCTCTCTTTTACCCCTTTACTTACTTTAAGGGCTAGTTAGGCTAGAAGTAGGGCTAGGCTAGGCCTAAAGAGGCTAGTCTTTAGTATAAGCTAGGTATTTTCTTTTATCTTAATATCCTCTAGGTCTTAGTCTTAGGTCCTAAGCCTTTCTTCTAGGGTCCTTAGAAGGCGTTAGCTTTTTAGAGCTTCTTTTAAGCTGGCCCTAGCCTCTAAGGTACTTATTTCGACCCTTAGGTTAAGGGGGGGGGGGGGGTTAAAGTTAAAGGGGCCCTCCTTAGGTCTAAGCCGGGGTCCTAGGTCGGGTCCGGGCTAGGTCCCGTTAGCGGGGGGTATATACCCTTAGTTAGCGAGGGCGGGGAAGAGTTTTCTACCCGTATAAGGGAGAACCTCGCCTAATTCGCAATCTTTAGCAGCATATTGCGCACCCGCTAGTAGCTGCATAAGGCTGCACTTAGAGGGGCGTAATACGCTATTTACGGCGGTTCTAGGCGTATGCATTTTTTATGTTTTAGGCTTAGTTTCGAAAAGTTAGCTAAGAAGACGTCTCTTTATCCTACGATAGGTATTAGAATAGTAGAGTAGGTCGGGGTAGATATATATTAATTTATTGTTTCTGTTGCCTTTCCCCTATCTTCGTTATATAGTCTTTTTAGTATTAGGACTTAAGAGGAAACGCAGTTTAACTCGTCTCTCCTTATAGACGTCTCTTTCGACATCAAAATTAAAGGACATATAACTATACACACTTGGCACCAAAAGCAACTATTATTTTATTAAGCCCTGGCAGTTTCTGCCGCCCTAAAGACAAAGCCGAGACTCTAGAGCCAGGCGGAGGCTGGGTGGATGCGCAGATTGCTTCATTGATCTTTTGTAGAGTCAGGTCATGTTTCCTTTGAAGGCGTCCATCCAGCAGCCCCGTGTCCGTCCTTATGAGTCTTGGGCGCGAGACTCGGTGGTATGGGCGGTTCCATGACCCCTGAGCCGCGTATTACGTGTACTCTCCCGACCTCTCCCTCACCATTACATGGACCGTCTTTGGCCACAGCCATTTCCATGTACCGTCGCCCCAGATTCGTGGCCATTATCTCTTACTCCAGACCAGGGGCGATCGCTCGGGGTGCAGCATCTGCAGCAGCAGCACCATGGCAGAGTCGTCCTCTATCTGCTTCAAGACCCTCTTCCGCGCGCCGTCGAGGCCTTCTCCCGCCGCGGCCACCGGGTCGACGCGCCAGTCCCGGAACAGCGTGGCAATCGTCGCCACGAACTCGACGTGAGAGAACTTCTTGCCCAGGCAGTCGGGGGCACCCTCGGACCAGCCGAGAAAGGTGCCGCGGCGCGGCGTCACGAGCTCCTCGTCGCTCCAGTCGGCCGTCTTGATCCACCGCGACGGCCGCCAGAGCAGCGAGTCGGAGCCCCACGTCTTGGGGTCCGTCTGGACCGATGAGTAGCTCGGGATGACCATGGTCTTGGGCGGGAGCACGAGTACCTTTTCCCCGACGGCGAGAGACTGCGACTCGCCGCCCGTCCACTTGGCCACGGGCACGGGCGTGTAGAGGCGCACCGTCTCGAGCATGACGGCCAGGCAGCGCTTGAGGCGCGGGAAGTCAGCCGAGTAGTCCCACTCGTGCGGCGGGCGGTCGCCGAGGACTCGACGCAGCTCGTCGGAAAGCCAGTCCTGAAACGACGGGACCGCGGCGAGGAAGTAGAGGGCAAAGGTAAAGGTATGGGTGGTTGTGTCGTGGCCGGCAAAGTTGAAAACGAATATGTTGCCGTAAATCTCGCTCTCGGTGAGGCCCTCTGCCGTCTGAGCCTCGTCCTGCGAGGCCCGAACCAGGGACGTCATGAGGTTCCGGTCCTCGGACCGCCGGTTCTGGGCAAAGGCGCGCTTCTCCTCCTCGTACATGGCCGTCATGTGCCCCTGGAACGACTCGCAGGCCTCGTGAAGTCTGCGGAACTTGCGGGGGAGCCACGGCTTGGCGAGGAACTTGGGGCCCAGGGCCGTGATGAGGATGCAGTTCTCGAGTATCTCCTGCAGCGAGTCCTTGTAGCTCGTCGTCGGCCCATCGGCCCGTCTCTCGTCGTGGGCCTCAAACTTGAACGACTTGCCGAAGCCGGCCCTGGATAGGACGAGAAGGGACAGGGTGCGGGCGTCTTGGGCCGTGGACGTGAGCAAGGGCTTCGAGCCCCACGACTTGAGCATGTCGCTTGCGAGGCGCACGCTCTCGGACCAAACAATGTCGTTGTTTTGCTCGTTGAAGCACGTCGCCACCATTTTGCGCTGCGACTTCCATTTCGGGCCGTCAACCTGCAAACATGAGGCGCCCGCCGGTCAGCGTGGACGCACAGACGGATGCCGGGAGAGGCGGACTCACGGTAGACATGTTTGGGCCAAAGACGTTGAGGATCTCTGTGAGCAGAACCCGGTCAGCTTACGTCGGTCGGGCCGGCAACGGCGGCCCAGGACACATGCCGGTGAGCTCGAGGCAGCGCGGAAAGTCGGTCCGGCGGCGGAAGACGTGCATCAAGGCATCGGGGTCGGCGAGATAGAGCCAGTTCCGGCCCGGGGTGACGTGGACAAAGACGTCTCCCATCTCGTGGTGCGAGCGATAGCGATCGGCCAGCTCCCAGCCGCGCCAGTTGTAGCGCGTGAAGCTGCTCTCGGGCAGGGGCAGCCGCCTGAGCAGCGACAGCAGCTTTCTGTCTATGAGCATCCAGATGGGGTTTGTGTGGTCGATGGGCAGCACGCGGATGGGGACCCCCATCTGACGGGCCGCCATGTAGTTGCGGAAGAGGCCGACGCACGACAGCAGCGTCCAGACGGCCGCCAGCCCCAAGACGGGCCACAGGAGGAGGGCCTGGAGAGCCATGGTGCGAAGCGAGGACGGCGAGGCAGGGTCGTCGAGGCGAATGTGTGTGAGGGGGCCAAAGAGTTGGGGGGAGGGGGGCTGAGGGAGGGGAGAGGAGGAGGAGGGGGAGGAAGAAAGAAGGCTCCCGGAGACGGGATGGATTGCCTCGCGAGCGAGGTGGAAGAGACCGAAACCTTGTATGGCAGAGAGAGACGAGCCCGAGCCAATCATCGGCGCCGGCATATTCCTGTTGGATGCAGTCGGCGGCCGGTGCCGGTGCAACCAACTGTCGACACACACACACATGTCAGGCTGCCGTGAGAATGTACAGTATTAATACAGTACCAGCCGACGGGGCAATGTTTGCAATTTGCATCGACTGACTGGGGGTCGCGTCTCGGGCGGTTGCTTGCAGTGCCTTGCACCAACCTGCCTGCACGGTTCCTTGATGCCTCCTCATGTTGGAGCAGCCACTCGCCAGCCGCCCCCACAGCCAGACTCGTTGGTTGATGCCGATGGAGCATGTATCCCATGTAAGTGCCACGTCGCTCATGTCTTTACATTGCTCAACCGGCTGCTGCCGCACTCTTGGTGACATGCGTGAAAGAACAGAGAACAGGTGCAGTGCCGTCATGGTGAGTAACTGAGTATGTGCTGGAAGGAAGCCGCCGCATTGATCCTTTGGCGGCTGGGCCCTGCCGTTGGGGGCGCCGCGCTCCAAGAACAAGTATTATTTACGTGTACAAACGTGCCAGACAACGTCAAACTTGTGCGGCAGAAATGCCAACTCTGCATTGGGCTGTACTGTACGTCGTTGCGTGGGCTTAGGCTTTGGATCAACTGGCCGCCTCGGCAACCTCAGGCCGGCTGCTTCGTGACGCTATACTCGAGCTCCTGCTTGATGCCGTCCCCGTGCCCCACATCCCCCCTGCCAGCCGGTCGACTGTAGCAGACGGCCGCCGGCTTGGGCGACCCGGGCACGAGGACGGGGCGCTGGCTCTCGTGCGACGCCCCCTCGAGATCCGGCCCGCGCGCGTAGTCCAAGTCGTCCGTCTTGGTCAGGCCCGAGAGGTCGCTCAGAGCGGTTTCGGTTTGCTTCCGCCTCGGCTGCATGCTCGCCTTCAACCGCCGGTAGTAGGTATCGGTTGGCTTGAAGACCGGGTTCGCGGAGCGGGCCGACTGGGCGAAGAGCTGGGGGAAGGCAGACAGGCAAGAGACGACAATGGCTATGTACGCAGTGGCGTTAGAGAGAGGGGGGGACAGGAACTAGAGGCGGCCAGCGTACCGATGCACGGCTCGATGGCACTCCAGAGCCAGAGATAAGTCGGGTCGTTTTGGCCATTGTCCCACTTGGTCGAGTTGATATCGGCCACGCGCACCGTGGCAATGATCATGGTGACGACGGAGAGGGAGAAGAGGCCGATAAAGGCGAATTTCTTGGCCCACTGGATGCGGTCGTTCCAGAGCAGCGTTATGGGTATCAGCATAACTACATATATATGGGCTGTTAGCCGTCGAGGTTCACGGCGGCGCGAGGGGAAACGGCCAGTGCTTACTTAGAAAATCGGAAAAAATGTCGAGGGCACAGTTGACCTTGAGCGTTATCGTCGTAAACTCAATAGCCGACGGCTCGCCGCAGTAGCCGTTGAGATCCTCGACGGGGCCGACCAGGCAGCGGTACTGGACGTTGCCCATCGAAGCCACCCAGATGGCCAGCGTAAAGAGGAAGATGGGCCACCACATGTACTTTTGCCCGGGCACGTTGTGACCGAGCCGCCTAAAGAAGAATAGAAAGGCGAGCTTGACGGCCGTCAGGGACGTATAGAAGAAGAGCTCGACGACGAGGGAGACCCTCAGCCACACCCTCTGCCGGTCAAAGACATCGGGCGTGGGCGGCGCGAAGCCGGCCGCGACGTTGAGCAGGTAGTACATGTCCGGGGCGACCCATTGCCAGAGCGCGGCCGTCACCAAGGCCAGGGCAAAGGCGACAATGACGAACAAGTCGTCCCAGTAGAGACGGCGGGGGCCCCGGAAGCGCGAATACAGTCGCACCAGGAGAAAGGCGAATGCCAGGGCTGCCGTGGCCCAGACGGCGCCCTAGAGCCATGCAGATGCGTGAGTGGTCGGTCATTTGCGTCGTCGCGGTTTCGTGGAATTCCATACATACCAGGAAGACATTGTTGGAGACTCCGGGGCCGATTCGCACCATGGCTGCATGTGCTCTGACTTGGTGGCTCGGGAGAACAGTCATGACACGAGAAAACAGCAACGACGCCAGGAATTATCCGCAACCTGAACTCGGGGGAGAGGCAGGTGGTCAGAGATGATTACATGAGAGGGCACGAGAGATATACAGCCATGCGTCCCGAGGCAGCCGGGGTTGCAAACCGTTGGATTCTTGGCCCCATGGGACCTCGGTTTGGTTCTCGAACTTCTCGCCATGCACGGCTGCGGGGGACTTTGCAGGCGATATGGTGGCTGCTCGAAGACAGCCCAACAAGGCCATGCGGTGAACATCCCGGGCCCTCCGGCGCGGGTTTGAGCCGGCGTGTGGCAGTCACTACGTCTGGACTCCTGGAGATGACTTGCAGCTTGCTCGACGTTGATAGTATTCATGTAGCTACATACACATACACCCTGACCTTAGACATCAACTCTATCCATGTAGTGCCGCCTCGTAGCTACTACAACCGACGCACCATGGCCTGCCCGGGGAAACAGCACCATCAGGCGGGCACCTCGCGCGGCGCCAGGTCAACGAGCACATCCATCCCCCCGAGGGGCCCGCTGACGCCGAGCGACGGCACCGTGTCGTTGAAGCGAGGAAACGGCTGCTCGCCGGCGTCGGGGTGGAGCGCGACGTCGAAGCGGTGCAGCAGGACGGCGATGAAGCCGTAGACCTCCTCCCTGGCCAGGATCCTGCCCGGGCAGTAGGTGGTGCCGCCGCCAAAGGGCCGAAAGGACGAGTGGCGCGCGAGACTCTTCCGGTTGAGGAAGCGAGACGGGTCGAAGGCACCGACCGTCGGCCCCCAGACGGCCTCGTTGGTGTGCAGCTGCCGGAACGGAATCAGGATCGAGTGGCCCTGCGCGAGGACCTTGCCGCCGATGACCGTCTGCTGCGTCACGACGCGCAGGGCGCCCGCGCCGTTGCGAAGACGGAGCGTCTCGTTGAAGACGGCGTGGAGCCGCGTGCTGTTTGCGCAGAGGTGCTTCACGTCCAGCCGTCCGGCGCGCCAGGCGGCCTCCGTCTCCTGCCTGACGGGGCGCAGCAGGGCCTCGTCGTACAGGAGGTGCGCCAGGATCCAAAAGGTGAGGTTGTACTCGTTGGATACGGCGCCATGGAGAGAGTGTTTGTGTCCAAGAGTCAGCCTCTGTCGCCCCTGCATGTTCGGTTGGGGGCCGTCTCCAACACTCACGCCCAGAAACTCATCAGCATCATGGCGGCGCGGGACTGCGTGTCTATGTCGACGATTTCAAACGCCGCCAGCGTCTGCCGTATGGCCCAGGCCGCCTCGCCCCTGCTGTGCTCGGGGAGCTCGATGAGCTCGCTGAGGGTTGCCATCAGCCTCCGCTGCGGCGCCGTCACGGGAATCTCGAGCAGGTCGAGGTAGCGGAAGACGACCATCCAGGCGTAGTCGTTGAACTCGAGGATGTCGTCGACCACGCCCGGGCTGATGTCGTGGAGGAGGCGGCCGAACAGCGAGCGCGTGGCGGCCTCGGCGATGAGGCGCCGACACAGCGAGAGGAGCGACACGGGGGGGCGCGCCGCCGTCTTCATGTTGTGAGCCGTGTCGGCCGCGCCCGCGAGCCCGCACCACGCGCAGCCGCCCCTGAGCGCGTCCCAGCGGAGAGAGCTGTGGACCGAGTCGAGGAAGACGCGGCACATGCTGTCCATATGCGGCCCGGGGAGCAGCTGCGTCTTGTACGTCTCCTCGACAAAGTGTATCAGGTCCAGCTGCGCCGGTTTGACGGCGTTGTCCGCCACGTAGCTCCAGTCGCCCGGCTGCGGCTTATGCCAGGCCCTTTTGAAGGCCTCGTGCTTGACGCCAAAGTTCTCGAGCAGCTGCGCCAGGTTCCCGTCAAAGTTGAGGGCCGCGCTGTCCCGGAAGGCGGCCGCCACGTCGCCCGGCGCCGTGACAACGTACATTGTCTTGCCGAGGAGTTCGACGGCAAAGGGCTCGTGCGTGCGGCCCGTGTAGTCTCTGAACCGCATCAGCAACACGGACCAAGGCGAGTCGACCACAGGGGGAGGGGTTTGGTACAGGCCGCGCTCGATGAGCTTGTCGGAGCTCCGGAAGAATCCCACAGTATGGCCTACAGGGGCTCGTCAGTTCGATTCGTGCATGCGGACCTCGCCGAGGACCGAGGTCGACGGTACCGATGACTTGAAGACGGCTTTGTCAGTAACGGCCCATCTCGCTTCCATCTTGTCCCCCGGGGAGAGACGCACAGGGGACCCAGTAAGGCAGGTTCTTTGGCTCCGAGGGCCACAGCAGGGGCCTCAGCGTAAACTTCCACGTGCGCCATAGCACGAGGAGACAGGCTAGGCCGAGAGCCGCAGACGCCCAGCGCGGCAGGTCACCAAGGATATCTCTCAACATGCTGTGCGGGACTGGAGTCTTGTGAGAGCTGGGGCGCGATGGAGGCGAGGTGTCTGCGAATCGGCCTATGCTCGAGCACTTATATATATATATATATATTATATATATACCGACATATACGTGTATTTATATATAGGCACATCCACGGATACACCACGAGGGGGCAGTCCAAAGCCGTCGTTACGCTCAGCCACCCAGCTCGGCCCTTTTCACTTCCTTCACCATGTGTTTTGGCCCCAGCTGCCAACTCCCCAAGTCGCCGTCGGCAACGAACGGCCGCCCTAGCCCGGAGACGGAGGCACGACAGCAGTCATCAATGGTGGAGAGTCCCCGGGCACTTGGGCCCCGAGCCTGGTTGGTCCCAAAAGACTGGGCCATGGAGTTGACATGCTCATGCCGACGATGCATCGAGCTCAAGGCTTGTTTGTACACATGCATACATACAGAGTACAACTCTCACATTTATCCCATGCACGTACAACCGAAAACTCCGACGCACAACCTTGACCATGCATAATCCCGTTAGAACAGTAGCCAACAGTCCATCCTGCCTAACGAAGGTGGGGGGGAAGTACGGCTAGTCAAGGCGCGGCGCCGATGCCGCACATTTTATATGCGCATATCCATGGAACTAGGGGTGCAAGGAAGATGGTTGTCTTACGGAATCTACGTCTATGGGCGTGGCCTTGAGAGGCCCGCCTGCGAGGCTGACTAATGCTAGAATAAACGCTCTACTGCCTACCGAATAAGGTTATTGTCAGCTGCCACCAGCACCTCCATGGCATATAGTGTCCACTACTAGGTCATCTGTTAGAGTGTCACTTCACTTTTGCCTATACAACCTAGTGGTTTCCTTATAGTTATATTATAATACGATATATAAAAGAGTATTTTAAAAATAGTAACTTAATACTAGTCTTTATTATAATCGTTTTTTAATAAGTATATTATATCTTAATTAAGGCTAGTATATATAACTATATTTATATAATTATTAGCTATATTAGGTCTTTTCTTAGCTATAATAAAAGCAAAGTATTATTACTTTATAATAGAATCATATAGAGTCTATAGCCCTACCTTTAAAAGAAATACTATTAACTTTATAGTTATATAAATAGGAGTTATTATTTAAGTAAAAGGTTTATAATAGTATAGCCCTGTTTATAAGGAAATATTCTGCCAAGTTAGATATATAACTAGGTAATTAACCCTCGCTCCTCCTCGTACCTAGATACATATAATTAGAGAAGCTACTGTCCGTATTAACAGTGTTCTCTTGTCTTGACAACGTCAAGGGTTTCGGGCCTATGTAACCCAACCCCCTCTAACCGCGCTGCATATATCCGTAAAATCTCCCGCAATGCCACCCTGTCTAGAGTACTTCCCTACAGAGTACAACTTTCCCTTTCGGCGTTGGTTCCCCCCTGTAAAAAGGCCTTCCATCGGCTTTCCCCAATCAACTGATGTATGTGTGTGTGATGGTCGGCCCGCCCCTAAGCTGTCAAGGCCAACGGGTGATACGAAAAATACTTGCACTTGATATTGCATGCATGTACATGGTCCGTAGGGAGTATCGAGTACACGTATTCGTGACTGGGCGATACTAATTTGGCACAATGCTACTACATAACCCGTCCCGTGCGTACATGCAGACTTGAAGCTTTGCCATTACCCCCACGGTCTTTGCCCTCTCCCCTGACACCACCACCATCGAGAGGTGGTTGAAGCGAGCGCTGCGTCTTCTCCATCACCCCCAACATGGCCGCTCCCTCCAGGGCAGAAGCTCCGCTTGGCCCGTGGCGGCTCGCCGTCGTCATGGGCTCCCTCTGTCTGGGCATCTTCCTATTCGGCCTCGACACAAACATCATTGGAACCGCAATCCCCCGCATCACGACCGATTTCCAGTCGCTACCCGACGTGTCTTGGTACGGCTCGGCCTATCTGCTGACCGTGACGGCCTTCCAGCCCCTGTTTGGCAACCTCTTCAAGTTCTTCGACGCTAAAATCGTCTACTTGACGTCCTTGGTCATCTTCGAAGGTTGGCCCTGTCTCCTTCGCTTGATGTAGTTGAATGTTCGTGCCCATGGCTGCGACCGAGGCTGATTTTGGGCGTCTCCAGTCGGGTCCGTCGCCTGCGCCGCCGCCCCTAGGTCTGCCGTCCTTATCTTTGGGCGCGCGCTGCTCGGCTTCGGGGCCGCCGGGCTGTTACAGGGAGCCCTGGCCATCATAGGATACGTCGTTCGCCTCGAGAAGGTGCCCCTTTTCCAGGGCACCGTGGTGAGCGTGCTAGGGATTAGCATCTGCGTCGGGCCGCTGTTCGGCGGTCTGTTGACGCAGTATGCGAGATGGAGTATGTCTTTCTACCCGGCCCCGTGCTTTCTGCCGGACATGTAACGCTAACGGTGCGTAGGATGGTGTTTCTGGATGTGAGGAACATGAATCGACGCCTTTTGGGCCCGAGACGACGAGGCTGCTGACCACGATGCCTGAAGCAACGTTCCCATTGGCGTCTGCGTCATATTCGTCGTTCTTGTCTTTGTCCCCATCAGGCAATCGTCAAACCAGGCAAACAGAGACCTGTCCCTGAAGGAGAAGCTCCGGCATATGGATGCCGTCGGCACCGTTCTGTTTATCGGCACCGTCTGCTGTCTGCTCCTCGTTTTGACCTGGGGCGGAAACACGTACCCCTGGAGCGACCCGCGGTGTATCGGCCTCTTTGTTGGCTTCGGGCTCCTCTCGGCATGCTTCTGTTACTGGATATGGAGACAGAAGGATATGGCCCCCATCCCCCTCCGGGTGCTTCTACAGCGCTCCATCTGCATGGGGGCCTTTACGCTGTTTTGTATCGGCATGACCAGTCAGATTGTAAGTGTCGACCGATGCTACGCCGGAGCTCTGGAGGAACTCGTTTAAGACCGCCCCTGTAGAGGGTTCTAACTGATAACAAAACGCAATAGTATGCCTACTATCTCCCCATCTTCTTCCAATCGGCTCAGGGCGTATCCACAACTACAAGCGGCGTTCGGTACATTGCCCTCGTTCTACCTCAGATAGTCACCTTGGTCGTCGTCGGAGGTCTCTGTCGAAGTGGGGTTACTATGCAAGTCGCTCTAAAGCCATGTCTCTTTCACGTCACGGTTTATCTGACTTGCTTCCGTCTAGGTCCCATACATGATAGCGGGCGTCAAGATAATGAGCGTCGGCGCCGGCCTTCTCACCTTGATTGATGTCTCCACGCCCGCGGCCCAATGGGGCTCCTTTCTAGTCATTGCCGGACTCGGTATTGGTATGGCCCAGCAGCTTCCATACACTGCCATCCAGGCGACACTAGAGTGAGTGACCAGTTCCCCCTCGAAACTCGAGGGGGTTAGGCTTACCCAAGATGCTATAGGCCGGAAGATGTGCCGACAGGCAATGGTAACTCGATTGTGCTCTTCGATATTGGGGCGCTCTTGACTAACTCGCGGCAGCAATCGCCGTGTTTACTTTCCAGCTCGGCGGGTACGTTAGAAAAGCTCGTCACTGGATTGCTTCATTCGCCAACTAACTCATGTCCACATAGTGCCCTAGGTCTCGCCGCCGGCCAGAACCTGCTAATCTCGAAACTCCAGGTGGCCGTCCCGGAGCTCACCAGCGCTGTCTCCCCAGCCCAGGTCATCGCGGCTGGCGGCACATTGCCGAGCAGAGGACCGCCTTGCGAGAGAGCAACGGCGACGAGTTTGACGAGTCCAACGACGTCGAGCCCGAGGGGGTCAAGATACAGGGCAGCGGCGAGGAAAAGATGGGGACCAAGTAGGCTACCCTGCCTGCCATGTGTTGTCGCTGCGGCTCCCCCTGAGTCCATGGTAAGGCGGAAGCCCGTCTGGAACGTTCATGTCCTCGTTAAATAGACTATTAGCGCATCGAGAGGTGCCTATAGTATTCCCGGGAGCCCTAGTTTGAGAAGATTTACTGCTCGTCCGCTTTAGCTTTCCCGTTGCTTCTTATCGCTGTCTTTGTCGTGCCATATTGTTTTTATATACCACTTTAAGAATATAACGTATAATTAGGTGAAATTTAAAGATTATAGAGGCGCGGAAAGAGGCCTATAATCGAAAGCGAGTATATAAATAAGAACCCTTGCATGCCCCTTAAGTTAGGAAAATCCTAATCTAGTCTAAGCAATAACTTTATAAGACCTATTAATTCTTATAGGCTAAGGCTTTATTACTTAATTTTCGTCTTAATATAGAGGGTAGGGAAAGAGCGGAGGATAAGGTAGTTCTAGTATTTTTAAAGGCATTATATATAGTAAAGGGAATACTATAGTTAGTTCTTACTACGCTATTAAAAAAGTATAAGCGGAAGTAGTAAATAGATCTTATTCTTCTTTTATTTATTTAGTTATAGCTATCTTTCTTTCCTTTATTATTAAGGTCTTAATAAAGTTATAGTTTAGTTTTATTTTCCTTAATATTAAGGGCTAGTATATACTTAGCGTAGTAGTATAAGGCCGAATAATTATTTATTTAAAGCTAAGGAGAAAGGAAGAAAACTCTATCTTAGTTACGCTAGTTATCTATCTTCCTTAGTCCTTAGCTTAACCTATATTTAGGTACTATTCGGCCTAAGTTTAAGTTAAGCTTTACCTATATATAGGTTTACTTTAGCCCGACTTTAGTATAGTCGCTATAATATAACCTTAGCCCTTTATAAGTATCGCCTATAATACTACCCTTACCTTCTTTTTTTTATTAGTAGTACCTTTATTCCTCCTTTACTACCTTTTTATTATTATCCTCTTTTATTTCTTAGGTATATATAGTCGCTTCCTTCTACCTTATACTTACTTTATCCCTTTATATACTACCTTTTTATATACCTATTTTAACTTATTCCTCCCTCTACTATATATATACCCCTATACCTTATTAACTATATATATACCCCTCTATATATTAATACCCCTTTTCTTTCCCCTCTCCTTTTTCCTTTCTTTTTCCTCCTTTAAGCTTTACTTCCTCCGCGCGCGCGCCCCTACTCTACCTAATTTCTATCTTTACGCTGCGCTATATTATAACTATTATAGGCCCTTATATACCCGCTAGCTTCTTTACTTTATATAGCGGCACCCTACCTCTTAGTATACTAAGCGACTATACCCTACTACCCTTAAGCTAGTTAACGCGTTTACTTATATCTCTTAGTAAGTATAGTATAACCTATAGTACTACTATATAGCGGCTACCTTATCTTACTTATATAAGCTAAATAATATTACTTAACGTTAAGATATAGTATAGTACTTACTAAAACTAAGTATTATTATATACTTATAACTACTTTACTTATACTTATATTAAATTATACTATCTCTTTACTTATTACTTTTTTTTAACCTTATTTAATAAGACGCTAATATAGTAGTAGTATACTAAAGATATAATCGCTACTATTAATATCCTTTAAGACTATATATCTTAAAGGATATTTAATAACTATTAAAGCGACCTTTATATATATACTTTATTTCCCTTTTAACCTTATCTTATTACTTATCTCTAACTATTATTTAAGTATACTAAGCTTACTTATACTACTATTCTTATAAAAAGAGATATAAGAAGTATATATAAAATATATAAAGGTAAAATTAAAAGTAAAGGGTCGGATAGGTAGGGCAGAGATATTTAATACTTACGGGGGTAGTAATTATAGTAGGGGAGTAATTATTATATTACCTTAATTCTCCTTTTTTCCTTTATCTAACGCCCCTCTTTATACCTATTTAGTATCTCGATTAATAAAAAAGATCTTACTTAAAGAAGCTACTAATATCCTCTTAACTACTAAGCTTTTTACTAGTTTTCCCCCTCCTTTTTAGTAGTTACCGGTATATCTATCTTATCTCTCGCTACCTCTATAGGAAGCTATTATTACTTCTACTTCCCCTTATACCCCTACCCTCTTCTCTATTTCTCTTTTTAGCTCCTTCTTCTAAACCGGTTTCTTAGCTTCCTTAGTCCCTCTTACTAAGGGATATCTCTAAGAACTACGTAATTAGGCTATACTTCGCGATATACCCCCTTAGCTATAGCCTGCTCCTTAAAGGCATAGCTAATATAGCTTCGGGCTAGTAAGCGTATAAAGGAGGTTCTTAGCTCTATTACGACTACGGTCTAGCGAACCGCGGGGACTAATATATATTACGAGGTCACGTAACGTAGGGAGCAAGGAATATTAAACGGACTAACGGGCTAATTAAGTTTAGAGCGACGGGTTACTCTAGCGCTCTAACGCTCTACGGCTAGGATCGTAGGATCGCTCTAGCGCTCTAGCGCTCCTAGATAACGGGATTACCTAGCGCTCTTAGCGATCTAGGGAAGCTCTCGAGATATATAAGGAAGGAACGGAATACTCCTTTAGATAGATAGCTCGATAGCTTTTAATATTATAATTATTACGATCTCTATTATAATCTTATCTTTAATTCCGATTACTTAATTACCTAATTATAGTCTATAGTCTATAACCTCTAACTTATTACTAATATAATATACTTATTATTACTTAAACTACACTTTATTATATTTATTAATATAAACCCCTTAATAGGTTTATCCCTTAAGAATAATACTAGTTATTATATATTAAAAGCTCTTATTTAATATAAATACCGCGTTACTTTAAGTAATATTATAACTATTAATATACTTATATAGTAAACTAAATTAACTAACTCTAGAACTATTATATTACCTTAAGATATAATACGCGAGATTATTACCCTTTAATAAGAGGTATAGTTACTTAGGAACGGAGGAGGTAATAGATAAGTTAGGGACCTTAAAGAAGTAGTTAAACTAAAATAGCTAGGACTATTTAACGGTACTTATAGTATGCTTTAAGACTTTCTTACCTAACTTAAGGCCTATTACCGGTTTTACCTTACTAAACTCTTAGACCTAGTCGAAAAGGTACTCTATATAGGAAATTATTTATTTAGAACGGTACTTACTTAGTTTAGACCTATTATAAGGGATTTTCTCGATAACTAACTAGCGCGATAAGATAACGAGATAGATAAAGTCTTTACTAGTTTCTAAGGATTTAAAGAAGCTATTATAAAGGTATTTAGAATAACTAATAAGGAATAAGAAGCTAAATAAAAACTTTAAGAACTTTAATAAAGGATCTTAGTATTAGATTATACTATAAAGTTCTATTAAGTTACTTTAAAGCTTAATTAAGACAATAAACCTCTTATATTACGATTCTACGATAGGCTTAAAGAAGAAGTTAAGGATAAGCTTTATAAGGAAAATCGACCTAATAACCTCTTAGACTATATTACTATAGTAGTATAAATCGATAATAGATAGTACGCGCGACGCTAAGAAAAGAAATAAGGAAGAGGAAATTAAAACCCTTCTTATAAGAATAACTTTAACTAACGCGCTAACTATAAAAAGAAGCGCGAAACTCCTATTACTTATACCTATATAATTAACCTAGGTAGGATAGATCTAGATATAATATAGAAAAGTAAAGGAAAGTATTTTAACTATAGGAAACTTAGATATTATTCTAAAGAATATAGATAACCTTATAAAGAGAAGAAAACCTACTAGGTACTAGCCCTAGAAGGTAAGAAATACTTAAATACTATTAATAAATAGGAACTAAAGTATAAACTCCTTAGTTAGACTATATACTATAATAACGAATATACGGTATACTTAAGCGATAAAAATAGTATTAAATAGTTCTTAAAGTAACTAAAGAAAACCCTTATAATAATATAATAAAGGGATCCTAAAATATAGAAATAAGTTAAATTCGTAGAACTAAAATACCTTTATCTTAAAGGAGTCTCCTAAGACTAAATTAAGAAGAACGGTAAACGATTCTAAGAAGATATATAAAATAAAAATCTATAATAATAATAAGTAGTCTATAAATAATATAATAAAAAAGATATAGATATAGCTCTTATACTTATAAAACTTAGATAATAACCTAAAGAGGAATAACGAAGTATTAACGATATAAGCTTTAAAGAATAAGAAATACTTAGAGAAACGGAAGATAAGAACGAACTTATATTACTACCTTTACTACTAAGGGAGAATGCTATAATTAGAGAATACGCTCTATACTTTAAAGAATTTAAAGAAATACTTAAAATTAAAACCTAATAAATACCTTAAATTCTTACGGAAAACTAATAAGCTATACTAATTTAATATTAACCGGTACTACGTAGAGGAGACTATACTATAGCTATCGCCGTAGTCGATACCTTTATAGCTCTATAACGAGAATAGTAACTATAAGGAGAATTTAAAGACGATCTATAAATACTACTTACTTATAAGTACTATAAGTATATTTTATAGATATTATATATCTACCTAGATTATATAATATACTTTTAGATAAAGGTACGATATAACGCCTTCTTAGTTAAGTTTAAGGGATAAGTACTTTCGAAACCCTACTTAAGTATAGAACTAGACTATTAGAAAATCGATTAACGCTACTTAAATAACTAAGTTATATTATTAGAACCTAATTATAGTATACTACTTAAATACCGCGATAATTATAGTTTATTAACGAGATATCTTTTAGAGATATATAAAATCTATAAATACGCTAAAATAAAGGAATAGTATAGCGCTACTCGCTTTAAGGTATCCGAACTATTAATCTTTTAAAGACTTATATAACGAATTAAATATAATAAAGAAGATTATAACGAATATATATACTTAAACTATAAAGTTTATAAATACGAAAAAGTATAAGTATAGT